CTACGATCTGTGACATTCAAATTCTGGTTATGAAACATTTAAACCACATTAAAGCAAGCGAACCGTATTTATAGATAAATTTAAAGCACAAAAAACCAAAAATGGAATAATTAATTACCGTAAAATGACAATGTGTTTTTTTAGAGTAAACAAAGAGTCGACTTGCATTTACCTTAGTATTTTTTTCTATTCCTGCAACATTTGAATGTGAAACGTCAGCAGCATCTCGACACGGCTTGCCTTTATGCTCGTCTCTGGCTCGGTTCTCTTTCAAATTTTCTTCTCTTTTCGATTCCACCTTCCACGAACTCTTTTTTGGTGCGACTATTGTGAGGAAGGAGGAAGGAGTAGCCCCTGTTTCATTTTGAAGTCATAGATCCCCGGCAAAGTGCAATTTATCTTGTGTACCAGGCAGATGAATCCGATAGTCAATGGCCTGAGCCTGAGCCTGAGCCCACTTACATTTCTGTTATTACTCCTCCAGTCTGAGCCCCAGATACCACCCGTCCCAGTTCCATCCAGATTGCGGATCTGTGGACACATTCGTTTCATTCCTTCTTCTGCATGTTTTGACTTTGTCTGCGGCTGTTGTCACTCGTCCGACTTAGACCCTTCTGTGGATGCCAGGCCTAAGCCAGAGACAGAACCTGCCATTCAAAGTGTAATTCCTCAATTACACAAGTGTCTATAGCTGCTCGCCTATGATTCGTCCCACCCCTCCGCTTCCCCTTTCAATCTACTGCTCCAATTGTCGACGTTTTCAAGCGCATCCGTAAGCCGGCGCCCGGCTTCCAGCTGGTGATTAATGGATCTCCGCTCCCGATTCGATGTTTTGCCAACCTAGAAACGCATCTAAGTGAAACAACACGGGAGATAACAGTTTAAGCCGATTCGCAACTGTATTTATTTGGTAGCCAACTTTTTAGCTAAGTGCAAAACAATTTACCCAAATTCGCACACAGCCAACACACACACACACACACACACACACCACACACTCACACGCACTAAACCACACAAAAACTTGCACATGTATGCATGTATGTATATTGTTCATACATGTTTGCTTAATTGTTCCCCCGACTATTGCCTCTTTGAGACGACTCCCCCGCCGCACAAAACCTCTTTGTTGTTGCTGCTGCTGCTGGAATGTATTTTCCCCGTGCAACGTAAAGCCTGCCTAAGCAGCTCTGCACTTTTGCGGGTCTCGCTTTTTCTCTATGAAATACCCAGTAGGATGGTGGAGCATATTGGGTCACGAGTCCACCTATTTTCGGGCAGGAAAGAAGTTTAATTTGGGGGTACAAAAATTGATTAAGTTAGCCCTTAAAATGAATAGATAGATAATAGGATTCTTTGCCCGGATATTGTTTAATATCAAATGTTTGGTGTACTCGTATGTATTATTATGATCTATTATATAATTCTAGTAAATAATTAAAGCTAACAATTACCATGGTTTGAAGCTATGTATAGCTAATGAGTCCTTAATTATATAACTTTTTAATCAAATTACCTCATACAAAATTTTTCATGAGATATTGCCATAATTTACTGCACTCCCGTCTCTTTAGTTTGAGTTTCTCTGTGCTACAGGGTATGCCAGTCATTGGAAGAAAAGAGTGCAACTTTTGACTGAAACTTTCCCCTCCGTTGTTTTATTATGCTAATGCAGCACAGCTCTGGGGTAACGGCAACCCCCCCGCCACCTGCCGCGTAGTCAAGTGTGTTGATTGGCGCCCTCTCCTGTTCGCTCTTCCTTCTCACAAACACACACGCACAGAAGGAGGAGTCCCAGCTTTGGGGGGGGTTGGGGCTGTAGAACAATAAGGGCTTGCAACATGTGAAAACTGTGCCAGCGTCGAGGAGGGAGAGTGTGCATTTGTGTAATGCCTTTTAAGCAGCATTAGACTAAGCCAAAACTTTGCTGGAGAAGCCAATACCAAACACCTCATAAAATATGAAAGAGCCCCTCGATATGGGGCGGGGCGCGCTCCAACAAAAGCAAAAACGAGAACAAGAACAAACAAATGGCGCAAATTTAAAAGGACGTCAAAGACACACCGCGAACGGGCGTCTCGGCCAGGTCGTTTGCCTGAGAACTTCAGCAGACTGTAAAATGAAATAATTATGAGCTATAAATTTGCCGGCGTCTTGGAAAAATTGTCGCAAAAGCTGCGGGGGTAGGGAGATGGAGCTGGTGAAGGATCAGAGGTAGTGGTAGGAGAAAAAAGCAGAAGAAACAGGCTACGATGCCTGAGTTGATAATGAGGCAGAACCTTAGACGCCGCCGTTGTTGAGGCAACCTTACCGACAGACAGCGACAAAACACAGGCAATTATGCAGAGCAAAAAATATACCGAATTCCTAATTGGATCGATTCGAATTCCACGGCTCCTCATGCCCAAGCGATTTCCAAAGGATGCGAACATTAAAAATTCATAAGACTCCTCGATTTGCAGATGCTAATTCAATTTAAAGGCCTCAACCTCTGGTCCCAGCCTTTCGAACCCAGATGGAACAGGCAAATCCACTTGCATGCCTGGACTCCTCTTCGAGCTCATATTTTATCGGTCCTGTCGTCTGGCTGCAGTTGCACGTGCCAATCTACCCGAAAGCTCCTACTGTCTCCCCTGTCCCCCCTCTCTGTCCGCCAGGACTTTTATCAGAGCGCGTAAATTTTCAGAGGGGACGACAACGCCTCGCACAGATTTATTTTATTTACAGCAAACTCGTTTCCACGGTGCTGCCACTGCCACTGCCGCCGCCGCCGCCGCCGCCTTTTATATAATTTCAATTATCGCCTGTTGGCTGTGGGCCATAAATTAAGTTAAAATCTGAGACGTTGCAGGTTGCGTTGATTGCATGTGAAAAATATTCCATTTTCCCAGTCATTTAATTAAGTGCAAATGCATAAGTTATGAACTCCAGAAAAGTAGTGGAAGGAAGTGAGGGTTTTGGGGTCGCCTTTTTATGTCGTGGATTTTCGAGCAAGTTTATTGAACCCTTTGACTGAGATAAGAGCTTTGTTCGGGGGCAAATCCCTTGCTAAAACTTTTGCCGACCCCGAAAAAATTGTCGTATAGCTGTCAGAACTGTCCCGGAGGGGCCATAGACGTGCACAACTTTTCCAACAGGAACAACATCAGTCCGTGAAGGCTAACAAACGGAAACAAACAGCTGCATTAGCAGCCACAAATCAGCAACAATCACAGCAGCAGCAGCAACAGACAAAGTTGAGCGCACTCACTTAAAAATTCCAAACACAGTACGGAAATATGCAAAATCTGGTGGAATGGACCAAACAAACAAACAAACCAAAAACCAGGAAACAAAGAATTTTTTAATGCCGAAGATGGAATGCTCTTCCATAGCCATTGATTCAATTCTAGAGAAATAGTTAACTATAACGTGTATTAAATGGTTGATATATTATTTATTTATTTATCTAATATCTAAAAATTCATGTCACCGTAAACCGATTTGTATACAATTTTTTTTTTTTTTTAGTCATGCGAATCGTAAATTATTTTCCTTTCTACCACTATCCACAAATTTTAAATCGGGATTTTAGTACTTTTGAATGAACAACATGTTTGTGTGTTTGTGTTACGTGTTTTGCGACTGTGAAAGGTTTGCACTGCGAGCAATTCCATTGGGCCGCCGAATGAATAAACCAGGAAGCATGCGAAATAGCAGATATCGAAAATGTGAGTGTGAGCATGTCCCAATAGCATGAATTTCAATTACCAGAGGCAAGAGATGAACGAAATTAACCACGAAGGTGATAAAGAATGTCCCCAAAGTCATGCACTTAAATGTAAACTTGAGTCATCAAAATTGTAGACTAAGATGAATCATACATCACAATAAATAGTTAAAAGTAGAGCAACAATAATAGTATTATACTCGTATTATATTAAGGATTTTAAAATCGTTTATTTGACATTAATTACTACCGTGTAGTTGTGGTACAATAAAGAGTCATGGCAACACCAACTGCTAAGCTACGAGACAGATGAACTGTGCAGCACAGCCGGATATGGCTATTTAACAACACTCTTATAAATTCACTTGACGGTTATAAATACTCCTACTCTTGCAAGTTGCATACATCTCGAGAAAATCACGATACCCTAGGCACGGAATCCAAGGAGAGAGAACGAGAGCAACGACAACGGAAATGACACAGCCGCCATGTTGGTGAACTTGTTGTTGTCGTTGTCTCCGACTGTAGCTAAAGTTGCTGTTTGTTTCTTGGTTTGTTTGTTTGTCGCTTTGAAACGAGGTGTTAACGAGCGGAGTAGACGGCATATGCAGGTGAGATTTACGGAGACTACGGTGGAGCATTAGAAGCAGTAGAGATTCCAGCAGGAGCAGCAGTTGCTGGGATTTGAGTAGCAGGAGGGATTCGAGTATAATGTGGCGGAGCAGCAGCGGCGGACCAAGAAGAAGGATGCCGCTAGAGACTTTGCAAACTGCACTAAGAGTGGCCCGCACCATGTGAGTGGATGTGTGGGCGTGGGCTCCGTCCAAAGCTGCGGCAAATTAGTGATAATGAATAATTTCCCACAGCGATAATTAAGGGCATCATTAAAAATGTTGCCGGGGATGAAATTGAGTTCGTCTGGGACTAAAACGCTTTTCCAATTACCACGACACACAGGGCAAAAGCCATTTTCCGCTTGCATATCCACAGTCCTACCAGTAAGTCCTCCCCAAAAAGCAGCCCCAAAACGCCAGCCAGTTCTTGCCACATGTCCGTGGCAAGTGCAGCCGATAGTGCCGGAAAACGAGACCGAATGCTCACGGAGATGAGCTCACTTTTCACTTGGCCATTCGGCCGTGACGCTTAACCAATGCCGGCCAACAATGCCGCCGGTCGATGTCGATTCCCTGCTGCCAAGCTGCTGTCATATTTTGCGCCGTGGGAAACTGGCACCTCACGCTACGCCCCTCCTTCGACTAAGCCGGGGTTTTGTGGCTTTTGCGTGTGATTTTGATGTTTGCTGTGACACGTGCTCATGGTCGTCGTCGTCCAGGATGAAAGGGGCGGCGGGGAACTAAACTGAATTGCAGGAACGATGCACGAAAATGGGCAAATTATTTGATTTTCTGTAGCCCACAGATGGCAGTCTCCACCAAGAGGGCACTGAAAGCGAAGGTGTAGCCAAAGGCCAGGACAAATAGAGCCCCAGAGATGTTGCTGACATTCAGCGGCTTTGGTGCACCCTTGGCCTTGGGCCCGTTGACCATATCCAGCAGAATTTCCTGTACCTTCTTGTCCATATACTTGACCACAAACTGTAAATTAATTAATTAATTAGTCAGAGTGACATACAAATAGGAGACTACCTCCAGCTCCCAGTGAACATAGAGACCCGTCTCCTGGCAGGTGAGAATATGCCTGTCCAGCTCCGGCATCAAAGTCCAGCCACGTATAGACACAGCCCGGGTCCAATCAAAGTACAGATCATCGTGCAGAACCTGAGACGACACATTTGATACAAACCAAGCCCATGAGATGTGAGAGATTTCCCCTTACAATGCGGTTCTCCAATGCTTCCGCGGGCACATAATTTCCAACCGAAAGAGACCCCGAGACCAGACGCTCGATCCCCAGTCCATAATTGGGGCTGAAGCTGGCATTGGACAAGAAGCTGTGGTCGCGCACCTCAAAGTTCCTGGCCAATATCTGCTCGATGCCCAGATCGGAGCTCTCCACGGTATGGACCCAGACAATGGAGGGTGCTGCCCATTTCCAGCCAGCTTGTGCCCACTTCTCGATGGTGTCTACGGGAGCACTGTAGAAGGGGACTGTCAGCAGCGACTTGAGCTGTCCGCTGTAGATGTTCTCCAGCGTGATGGTGGCGCACAAGAGCGTAGCCAGAAAGAAGCGAGTGGCAAACCGATCAAAGCTAGAGGGGATTCAGAAAAGGGAAACATGGAGTTTAAAACCCATGCATGATGCCCACTCGAACAGACCTGAGTGGAGCCGATGGCTGCTGGATGAACAGAGCAAAGGTGTCCAGCAGGGACTGCTCGATCTTCTTCGCATGATGGAATTCTGGCTCATATCTGCCATAGCCCAGCCGAAAGCTTGCAAACTTCATCACATATAGAAAGACGCCGCATATCACCATTGTGGAGATGAGCAGCAGCCACGTGGCGCCATTGAAGGGTAGAATATTGGTGCGCCAACTGGGTAAGGGTCTATAAAGATTAAAACTTCAATTGGAAAAGGAGAACGAGAGGTTAAGGGTATTCCATTACGCCGGTGCTGGTCCCAGAATTGTCACCGAGGAGCGGGCAATGTGATACGAGGTCTCCGTGATGCCGTCGTACCAGTTGTAGATGCAGCCAATGGCCAGCTCCACGCGCTGTTCGTAAATGTCCCCCAGCATGCCGTCGCTCGACTCATTCTCATAGATGCTGCCCCAGTTGTCGGCCCCATCTGGAACAGGGAGAACGCCTTAAGATTTGGCTCCAGCCAAACGGTGCCCCTGGCACAACTTACACGCCTCCACACGCAAATGACAATGATGCACCTGACAGAAGGTCTTCATCACATTGGCCTCGGCACCGTAGTACGCAATCGAACGGTTAGCCCCATGCGGGTGAATGGGATCTTCATTGCCCTCGCCAGCTGGCTGCAGTACCGTACGTGTAAGATGATCAAGGGGGAACTGCTTAATGGTAAACTATTGCTGGCCAATCAAGCGTCTGGGCTAATTTCGTTAATGGCCTTGTTATGGCCACGCCTCACACACACACACAAACACACACAGTGTTGGGGCAAGTTGGGGGCATTCAAATGGACATCGACACTTGCCTCGTCGGGTGGCAATTAAATGGAAACACGTAATTTAAATCAATGTTGGAGCCGGAGCCAAAGCTAAGCCCCAAACAAAACCACATGCACATGCTTGCGGCTGTATTCGCCCTCTGTCTCTTTCAGCGCGTGTGTGTGCGTGTGTTTATGAATGGGAGGTAGTATTTGTGTTAGTGTTTGTGTGGGCGTGACCGTGTGTGTGTGTGTGTGGCTGTGTGTGCTTACAAATGTGCAAATGTCCTTAAGGCAAACAATTGAGTGCGAACAAAACTTTTGCCAAATGACAACAAAAGAACTTTATTTTTTACAACTGGCACAGTGGGGCTAAAATGTACAAAAATAAAAGATAAGTTTGACAAATTTTTGTTATAGAGTAAGGGTAAATACTAGTTGATTTTGGATTCACATCTCTGATGCCTTTTGTTATCTGATTGATCCGAGACACTGTGCTTATACTCGTCTCAGAACACTGTGAACACTTCGATGCTCATATAAAATGAATGTTGTACGATATCTTTAACATAATATTGATACTTTTTTTAAGTCCCTAACACTTCAAGAAGAAGAAATCTATAGCATGGTGACGAAAAACCAAAAAAGGAGATGTTGATTTCAAAATCTACAATTTTAAATAGCATATTAAGTTATTCTAAACACAGTTTATGGGATATTTTAATTGTTTTACAAATAAATATAAGCTAGGGGGCAAGACCTCTTAAAAGTCGCTTCGCTCGTGCGTCAACCCCCGGCTCACTCGCGCCGATGTGTGTAAAATATAGGGAGACTACCCAATAATTTGTCTATTTAATAGAGAGATAACATACCTACATATATAAATAGTATAGGAGCATTACCAGAACTGTATAGAAACATGTCTGATATTTTGGACAATAATTTTTGAAGTGCGATATTTTTCTAGGTGGCTGCAAAAAAGTCTGTTTTTTTATTATCCCCAAGTCAAAAACTATGTGGCATGGTGTAACCAGACCAATCATATAGACGGCTCCTGACAACTGCTCTGAAATCTGCAACCTCCTCCGCAGCCATAGACACAGGACCACAGGACAACATGTGCTTACATTTTAGTTCCCAAAATCGTTGCCCACAACGACAACAAAGGCAAATAACTAAGCACCTCTCACCCACACAGAACAGAGCGAACCCACCCACAGAATGAGGCAACCACTGGACATTTATTCATGATGAGTCCACACACACACTGAGCCCCGACTAATGCAAAGACAACGATGTGAATGGGGGCCAGATGAAGAAGAGGCCCAGAACGGACCAGGGGCCAGAGAGGATAAGGAAGGGGATGAGTGCGAGTGCGAGGACAACCAATTGGCTTTGCTTAATGTTGGCGTGCAAATCTCTGGCATTTGTGGCCCAGCCTGCTCCCGGGGACATGCCACAGGGAGCAGGCCGCAGGGTTGGGGGGAGCAACAACAACAAACGATAAATATAAACTTAACCGGCAATTACTTACCACATAATTAGTAATTGTATATGGGACATAAGTAATGGAGCCCAAGCGCAGGGTGCGCTGCTGCAGATCGAGTAGCTTGTTGGGATAAAGTTCGACCCGGCTGTTCCCGGCAAAAGTTTCGTTCGGCAAGAATGCGCCCAGGCGCACGGCATCCAAATTACCAAAGGCTCCGACAAACTTTTGTGTCCACAGCTCGAAATTGATGTCGCGGTACGGCAAAGTGGCTCCGGCTCCTCCATCTCCATCTCGCACATCCCCATCCACATCCACATCTCTGAGTCGACTCCCATCCCTCGTGCTTTCCGTGTTTACCGATGTGCCCTCTTTATGCCTGTGGGCTGGTACTGGTACTGTTGCTGGTCCTCTTTCTGGTCCTGTTACGGCTCTTGTTCCTGGTCGCACCATCAGATGGTGTGGGTAGACTAAAGCGCATTACAACGATTTCCCGTTGTTGGACAAGCAGAAACAACAAACAAGCAGGGGACATGCGAAAAACCAAAAAAAAATGGGCGGAGAAAGCTGGCATTAGTTTTGCCCAGATCGACTACAGGCTATCCTGTATTACGAGATATTATTTTGACTTATAATGATTAAATGATACAGAAATAACATTTTAAAAAAATTAATAAACTAAAAACACATAATAATATTTTTTTTTTAGTGCTAAGAAAACAGATTTAGAAAGTGGAAAGTTTTCTTCAAAAAATAAAGAGATAACCCAAGCATTATTTTCAATGAAATTTCTTAAGAAAAACTCCTGTTTTAAGAGTTTTTCTATAGCGATTGTCAAAAAGACAAATAATTGTAATTTAATTAATAATTGAATAAATTGTATATAAGAAGGCGAATTTTTCAAAACGTAATTTCATTGCATTATTTTGTACACTTTTTCAAACGAAAAGAGCTATAAAATGTGTATTATAAACTAAAGTATTGGCACACTTATCACTTTGCATTTTTTTTATGGAGCATGTTCATGGAATTTCGTCCAATAAATCGCTCAAATATAGTTAAGGAAAAAGAAACCAAAGAAAATCGTAAGTTATGTCAAATACAGGAAAGAATATAGCATATATGTATGTGTTTTTTTGTAATATCTGCAAACGTCAAAGTCTCCTCCATGCCATTCCGTCTGCCTTCACCCTTTTTACCTACCTTCCGACATACACTCACACATTGTTAAGTCACCCTGTATCCTCAATAAATACAGGGTATGTGAAAAGAAAATAAAAAAAATCGAAACAAAATTAAGTCGTGGCAAGCAAAACAGTGAAAACAAAGCCAACAAATAAAGAAAAAGACGGAACGGAACGGAAAGGAAAAGAAAGCCCAAGCAGAAAAAAGCCAAAGTTTACAATTGAACAAGACGCCGTCGAGCGTTGAAATTATTGGCAAGTGCTAAAGTTTGATCAACTGGCCACGAATGTCCTGCGGTGGTTGCCCGCTCCTATTTGTGTTGCACAGTGTCAGAGCATGGAAAAGTTTTCCAGTTGGATTTGTTTAGACATGCCCCAGAGGGGGCTGGCAAGAAGTCACCGCTTAAGCTAATAAATTGATGTTGGGGGAATGGGAAGCGACGGAATTCCAGGGGAGCTCGATTGAAATGTGAGATCAATGAACGCCACTTCACTTACACTGCAGAATGTCCATGGCCAACAACTCCTGGGGATGTTCATCCTCGCACAAGAACAGATATCGCTTGTCCTTGAGGCGCACATTGGCATTGCGTGTGGCATAGTATCGGGCATGGAGAAAAAGATTCGTCTGCGGCAGGATTGTGATGAATCCCTTAAGAGGAGGAGGTATGGTAACATGGTAACAGCCTCGATTCTGTTCTCTAAACCTACCTCTATGGTGCTGCTGTTGACGGCACTCATGACCTGCCACTCAAGTTCCGCCAAGTCACTCAATTGTCCGACATTGATCCATTGCAGGAGTATGGATTGACCGAAGCCCTTAAGCACAAGCTCCAGAGATCTCAGGTACTCCAGTTGAAGGAGAGTTGTGGTCCTGGTATTGTTGTGAACGATCAGAATAGACGAAAAGGAAGCGAAATATTGTCCAACTGAGGGAAAGAAGAGATTGGGGTGTGATATGAGAGCTATAAAAGCCGCCTTCTTACTTATAATCCGAAGCAATGGACTCAGCTGCATCACGAGTGGCTGGAACAACATCTTGTCGCTCTATTGGTCTCAAATGCAGGGAAAATCAGCCTTTATAGGAGGGACTACGACTTAATGACCCTGCATCGATTGAGGAACAAATTGATTTGAGCTCGAACTGTAATTGAAAACCCTCTGGTCGGCTCTGGGTCTGGTCTGGCTATCATTACAAACTTCCAATGGGCATTGTTTGCCCAGACATTATCCTAATGAAACGCACACAAGACATTACAATATTTGCATAATTCACTAAACAATCCTCGGCAGGTCGGGGGAAAATCGAACAGAGGTGGATGGGAGTTTGTCAAGTAGAACAACTCCACTGCCACTCAAGCGAAAGCCATCGAAGTGAGGTGACTGCAGCATTCGATCCCTTAATCAACCCTGAACGGACTTCCCCCTGGCTGTGGGCCAATTAGCGAAGCCACAAATTAGCGACAACAATACTGCCAAAAGACTGACTTTCATTATGAATGCGAACAAAGCCCCCAGCCGAACCAGCGCTACAGCCGGCGGATAGTAGACACAGAACTGAGCCAGGCCAGGCCAAGTGTCAATTGAAACAATTCAATGGTCTGGCCAGGAATGGGGGAAGCCAGGAGTCATTGGAACAACGCAGTCGTGGCCAATGTGAGAACATAAACGGACAGACCCAAACGTCTGCTGTTCTCTCCCTCTTTCTGCGGGAATGTGTGAGTGTTGGGAGTGCTTAACCAGTGGGTTATTTGAAATTGAAAGACGGATTAAAGGATTTACTCTCCTGGCAAGGCAGACCGGAACCAGCTGGAGACACAGAAAGCGAGCAAGCAGGCACGACGAGCGGGGAATGACGGCAGTCTGACTCCGGCTCTGGTCATTCGAGTGCCCAGCAGGCGACGATTTTATTGCCCCGACAACCTGCTAGGACCTGCCCCCCAAAAAACAACAACAACAAGAAAGGCCAGCACACCCACACACATGGCTGTAACTATGGCAACATCCACTCGGGGCCCCCAAGGGCAATTAAACACTCAAGCGGCGTTTTGTGGAGGCGTGAGAGTTGGGTTGCGATGCCCCCTATTCGGGGTTATTCGAAAGTCAATGGCATTAAAAATCCATGAAACGGTTTATCTTCCCTGAAATGATTCATTGGATAGCAATCAAAGATAAAGATCGAGATAAAGCGTTTACTAAGTTAATAGCTGAGAAATGGTCGCATAAAACCAGAATAATATTTAATCTATCCATTCGATATTTCAGTTTTGCAACGTTACTAAAATATAAGAAATACAGCTTCATACGAATCCACTTATATTTAAGAGCGTTCTCTCAGGTTCCAGAATATCGTCTGTTGGACGAATGTGCCAAAAAAGATGGGAAACTCAAAACTATGCCCAGCGCCTTGAGTCAACCAGAACTAATCAAGATACACATGGCAGACCAGTGAGTGAGTGTTTTATTTGGTCTTTTTCTGGTTCAATGTCTGTCCGCAGAAATGGAATTTACTCACCTCGCACACGCAACTATCGGGCAGCATTCCCGGAGCCAGGAGCCAGCAGCCAGCAGCCGGGCCAGGCCTGGCCGGGCCGGGCCTGGCGCCGCACCACCGCAGGCTGGCTGGCCAACAAGCCGACCACAATGTGGCCAACAAGCACCAGTGGCCAGAACAGCAACATATGTATGGCCAAAAGAGAGAGTGTTTCCGTGTGTGGGCAAAGAGTGCGTGGCGCATTTTTAGCTAAAGTTTTTTCAAATTCTTTCCCGGGTTTCTGTTGTGCTTTCATCTGCTGCCTGTTGCCTGGTGCATGGTGCATGGTGCATGGTGCATGGTGCGGCGGTGTGGGCAATTTGCTAGCCAGTATTGCTCCTGAATTGCTAATGGAAAGTAGTTGCCGCAAAAGAAATTAAGAGCCTTAAAGAACTTTAAATTGCCACAAGTTTAAAGGCAAATTTTAATACTCATTTTCTCCCCTATTCATATGCAAATAATCACGGCCACGACAGCAAGTGCAGCCCGGCAATCAACGCTCTGAGCTGCATTAATGAATACTAAACAAAACAGAAGTCCTTGAAAGTCCTTGCCAACTAAGGCTAAACAATGGCAATATGAAGGACTCAACGTACATCATGCCACTCCATAATATGTGCCAGAGCCCTGCAGAGGCAACACGAACCATGGAAATGAGTTTTCCCTTTCAGCGAGAAGCGGTTGACAATCAGGCCATTCAATACGGAATACTAACTAAAATGAACATCGTCATATTCCGATTCAGGGCTCAAGGGTACATCAGATTTAAGAGGCTTCAAGTCTTCAAAACCAAACACGACACCAGAATGATCCAGAATAGATATCACAAGACTAACAATTTAAGTAGATCCCGGGCTTTCTCTTGATTTTTCCTAGTATTTTATTCGCAAAGTGTTGAGTTTTCATCGAATTATGTGACCTGAATTGGTCACCTCATCTATGTCTGTGTCTGTTTGAATGATTGAACTCATTGCAGAAGCCAGAAACAATTACGCACAGCTCATCAGATTGCCTCGCCCACCCGCACTTGATGATGGGCTGCTGTGACAACTGAATGCTGACAGGCTCCGACAGGCGGCATGGCATGTGTTTGAGTGGGGCTCTGGGAGATTCTTCTATCAATTCTGGGATAGGATGTGTAAATATTTGCATGGTAATTAGCTGCGACATCCATGCCACTTCGCATCCATGAGGCAGTCTCCTGTCATTGGCGCTGTCCTTGGAATTCTCATTTGCCAGCCAAGTGCGTGAGGTGGAAAATACATATTTCCCCAGAACATTTTGTTGCTGCACAATTATGCAGATTGGCATTGCTGAGTGGTGGTCTGGGGGTGCTGGGTCTGCAGAGGGCTTCGAGTATTGCAGTAAATATTTGCCATTTGGTCGAGGCCTTACTGCCCGGACTTCTGGTATTTTTCTGATATTTGTTCTTGCTATTTTTTTGTTTGTTTTCTGGCTGTATTGCAATTTTTGCATATGGTTTGTAAACAAACTTGAGTTGTAGCTGGTGATTTTAATGCCCTTTTTTTTAGAAAAAAATCTTATCAAAGCAGAAAAGGAAGCATGTTCGATTTTGCTGGGTTTGTTTCAGTGTAAGCCCGTGCACAAATCCTGCACTTTTTAAAAAGATTTGTATTGTCAAGTCATTGCAAAAAAATCCTTTTCATTTTGAATGTACTCCAACGAAATAGCAGTTATAATTTCATCACATAACTTCCATCGAAAGGGCATCTAGGGTTCGACCCCCTAGCATATCTTCCTCGGTTTCATTCTCTTTTTTTTTTGCTCCTTGTGGGTTCTTTTCATTGAAGTCTGAGGCAAACACTCGAGCGTGTAAATGCACACACACACAAAAAAGGAGGGGAAGATGGCGAAACTAAAATAGAAACACATTTCATTTCCGTAAGATCTGGCAGAGTGGAAACGGAAAATGTGCAGTACACTACTATATGGTGTGGAGGGAGGGGGTGAGGATCTTAGGAGGGGGGGCAGAACAACGGGCAAACAACAAGAAAGTGGAAATATACTTGGCGATAAACCAACGAAATCGATTGGAAATATTTTAACGAAATTGCAGCTTAAAGTGTCAAGGCAGCATGTTGCATGGCTGCCAGCCCCAAGATGGAGCCATACAGGGGGTTGGGGATTGGGCAGTGGATAGTGTGAAGGAGGGCGTGTGGAGGGAGGAGGGGGGATAGCAATCATTTTCAGTGACGTTAAGATGAGTGCTCGTTCCGTTGATTCCGGCTGTCGATGATTATGAGGCTGCTGCAGATCCAGATCCAGCTGCAACGAAATGTTTCTGTTGGGCATTTAGATAGAATCCTACACTCAGAGAAACTAAGGTATATCAAATGGTGTTGCTTGGAACACTTGATGGTCCTTTTTTTAATGCCATAAATGATCACCATTCTTGGAAATCAAATTATTCTTTATTCAAATTCTGTCATAATCCCTGTCTTACGTTCCGCCCCATGCGAACCTATAGAGTAAATAATAGTATCTTTTTCTGAGTGAGATTCTCTCTCTACTGTTTTTCTCGGCCCATCTCTCACTCTCTGTATCTATGTCTCGAGTGTGCAATCTCCGAGCGAAGCGCAACGGCAAAGAAACAGTTTAAATGCTAACAATGCAACGGTTTCGGGTCAAGTATTTCCATTTCTTCCCCTGTCCCTCCTTGGCAACATCTCCCCTGCTCTGTATTTTGGCATATCTCCCTCCCTTCGGCTACGGAAACGAAGTGTAATGAAAGCGTGTAAAGTGCAAATCGAAAAGGCAATACAAGTAACGAGTACAAAATACTTATACCCCTCCGTTTCTACCTCTTTTGGCCAACATTTTCTCTAAATTACCAATGTCGGACAGGGCCAGGACGATAAGGAGGTAGGAAAGGTACCAACTGGTAAGGTGCCCCGGGCATATCCTGAGCGAAGGAAACAGGCTGAGGAAATGTATCGCAAAATGCAGTTTCTTTCACGCTCTAAATGGGTTTTCCTTTGCGCTTTCTCTCTGTTTCTCTCTGCTAAATTATAACTTTAATTAAACGAATTTAATTTCGGGCATTTCTCCAAGGACTTGACTTATCCCCCGATAGCGAAGTGCTTGCTGCTGGAGAATTTCGTTCGGTCTGGCCAGGCACTTAACTATTTATCTAAACAGATTTCCACATTTCATTAGCATTTGGCGACCACAGAAACCGCCAGCGAATTAAATATTGATAATTGTTTTTCCACATCGATTCCACGGGCAGCTGGCTCAGCGCCGCGCCCCATAACTTTATATGAATTTATCTATACAAATATATCTATCTATCTATGCAATTACATAATCCACTTTGTTGTCGAGCCGCAGAGTAATGTTGCTGTTGTTTTTTCCAAAATTTATTGCATTCTGAATTCCGGCGGGAATTGGCCATGGCCCAGGGGCTTAGAGCCAACCATTCAAAATGAATTTAAAGCCGACGCAGGCAAACGAGCCAAATGAAAAATTTCAATTAACCACAAAAACCGGACACAACAAAACGAAAACGAAACAAAAACCAAAAAAAAGGTTGTCCACTGCCAAACCATTTTGGCTAAATCATTTCCCCATCTCCCCCATCCACGACGACTACTCGCATACGAGTGCCGGTCTCTCTCTATATTTTTGAGGAGTTTTTGCTGCAGTGACAGCAGCCGGGGACAAAGCGAAAATCCGATTGTTGGAGTGCGCGGGTCGTCCTGTGCCACAATTAAATGCACTCGATGATGCACCTGACGGACCCCAGGACGCAGCACAGCACAGCACACCATACCCACAGACCATGCCCATCTCCGCCGTTCATTTATTCATTGAAGATTGGCTTTGGCCCAATCAATTGACCATGCACCGTGCACCCCAGCCATCGACGAGGTTTTTCCTGGTCCAAATCAATGCAGCATGCGGTCGGGGTCACCCCACTGCCAGTGGACGGGTTCCAGCTTTCCAGGGGGAGGAAACCAGCTAAATCAATGCGAATTATTTGGTTTTTCAATTCGTTACACTTCTCCAGTGACAATCCCTTAATTTTGTTTGTTGTTTATTGATTTTATTTTGATTATAAGAAATATATGATATGTCCGATCTTGTGAATAATTTCATTTGGCCACCATTCGAATTGGTTATGTTCTGGTTAGTGGCCATCATATTTATGCACATCGGTACTATGTGCACTGAAAAAAGGGCATATATTTCCTGATTTCAAAGACCGTACGAGTCATAGAGAAAACAATCTATGAATTGTGTTATAAATGCATTCTTGTCCTGTCGTGATGATTTTGGTCAGGATTTTTCCTCTGTGTATGGGTAAAGCCACAGCGGAAATGTACTATATTTTATACATACCACCGCAGCTCATTTGGAGCCACGAAAACCGCCAATTTGGATCTGTGCGGCAGGCAGGCAGGGCATCATTTCAAATCGCACTTTAATTTTGCAGGAGAGAGTGTGGCATGCGGGAGGGGCACGGCACACTCAATCGTTTTTGGAGCATTGTGTTGACAAAGACGTAAATAAAAATTTATGCGCCCAAAAGTAGCTATACAACATGCACATAAAATGATTATGACGATTATGCTGGGAGCTGGAGCTGGAGCTGGAGCTGCTCCGTCGACTGCTGGGAGGGATGGGATATTATGCGAAAAAGAACATTGGGTACCCACCCACACACATATGCAATGACCCCCCCCCCCCCCCCACACAGAAACACACACTCCCGCACATTTATTGACACAAATTGCTTTTTCAGAACAGCATTTGGCAGCCGTCGCCCGAGTGCTGCGGCTCCTTCTGGTTTTCTTTTTATTAAAGCCATAATAAAATATTCATAAAGATTCCGTTTATGCTACGATAACAATGCATATTTTAGAATAAACGCCCATCAAAGATGTCTTTTTTTATTCTTTGGGGCCCACACAATCAATGAAGATCTCTTCGATTTGCTTTATTAGAGACCGCTTGAGCTATTTGTGGTTCTGGGTATGGGCTATGGGATTTCAAATGCTTTTAAACCCTCTCCATTTGGGTGTGTGGTGGGGGCTGGGGGTGTGTCTTTGCAATCAATTCGATGGCAAGCTGTGTACTGCTCCTCCGCACAATCATGTCAAGAATTCAATATCAGAGCGCGAGCACAGCTGTCGGTGATGACATCGAGGAATGTCCCTACAAGGAATACTCGTCTTTTGTTTCAATGCCATTGATGAACAGGCTCAGAGTGGGGATTAGGTGATCCCGGGTGCCGGGTGCCGGGTGCCGGCGGTCGGGGGTGGCATCATTTTGATTACAAATATGAAACATGTTCACATAAATATGGCCCCGCCCTTTGGTCCCTCCCTCCGGCTCCACTTTCGCCTTCGGCATCATCAAGTGCGTGTGTATGGAGTGCACTTAATGGCGTTCCTTCCACATTGGAGGAGCGGAGCGGAGCGGAGAGCAGAGGGCTTCCGCCCAAGTCAAGTCAAGTTAATATTGGGGGCAACTTGAGTCAATTTTGAGTGAGTGAGACACAGCATATACACACAGAGTACAGACTGCAGAGTACAGAGTACAGAGTACAGACAGCCAAACACTCTGGAAAATTGCAAATAGACAAGTTCTTGGGGCCATTAGCTTTAATTGCCCAAGTTGTGGGGCAACTGCAACAAATTGCGAGGCCATCAATATTTCCGTTGCTGCATCTGATTTCCTAGTGTGCACCTCCAGCATCCGCATCCTCCCTGCCAGCGATTAACAATATCAGTTTCTGCTTCCCCCGTCCGGAGGGACAGGAGGTTACCCGCTGTGCTGGTTCGGGCTGGGTTTTAATTAGTGCAGCCCGTACGTATTTTCTATTGGCCAATTCACCGCAGAAGCTTCATTACCAGCAAACCGTACGAGTATGAGGCAGATCCCCATCCCTCTCTCTCTCTCTCTCTCTCTTTCTTTCTCTCCGTCCATCTGTTTGCGTGTGTGTTTATCTGTGGGACAGATTGTGAGTCATTAAGTTGGTGCAGCAAGCATCAGGATGCAGCTGCATGCCACACAAACATTCTGTTAGGATGCCACATACAACGCCCACAACGGCGGTTGATGACGTTGGGGGCGCGGCAATGGGGCAATGGGCAGCTGTAACGGAATCAGAACCAGAAGCAGGATCAGAGCCAGCAAATGCTGCCACAGAAACAGAAACAGAACCAGAACCAGAACCATGTCGAGAGTTAACCTTTGTTGGCGGTTTCAGCTTTTTGTGCGCCGGAAACGGCAGAGCAACTCAATCAGTTTTTGCGGTTTTCGGTGGCACGGCTAAAAGGGACCTCGGCCCTGCCTCCCGACTTCGGCTGGACGGACACTGGCTAACGCTAATGGCTCACAAATGGCACTTGAATAATTGAAAGCCGGAAACGAGCCAGAGCCAAATGAAATGAAACGCACGGGATTTACCAGCCATGATGCGCATTCCTTTGTCCGTTCAAACATGTCCCATCTATACAATTTGCACCCTCAACCAAGCCCTAGTCCCTACCATACCCTACCATACTGCCTAGCCCTCTTCCGGCAGCTTCTGGTCTCCTCTTCATGCGAGTCCACAACGGTTTCCGCTCAGTGGCGATGAGCTCCTGCAGACTGTCCGCCCATCCCCAACAGGTAACCAATCTCTAGTAGTGGAAATTCTGTGCATGTGGCTAATATCATGACTTTCTTATGCCCCTTGCCCCCGGTGCACATGCACCTGCCAATACAGTCTCGACAGGTTCGTGTTCTGAATTTATTGAATATGCTACAGTATTCATTGCCAATCCAACGCACGAGATAAATTTCTAGTGCCCTTGATTGACCTTTTTCTACCTTGGATGTAGACACGTGGACAGTGCAGTCAACAGCAAGTACAAAAAAATATTGTTTGTCGAGGTCTGAATGGACTGTTTTGATTTTGATTTATTAATTTCAAGCTATTATTTAAAACTTCAATTTGTTTGCTCCCAATTATAGGAGCAGAGTCCAGAGCTTATGAGTCTGATGAGCACAGACTGCTGTGCTGGCGCGCTGCCTGGAAAATGTCGTAGGAATGCTTCGCTAAAGGGGACTTCCGGCTCCATGTACATTGGACCAGGGTCCTGAAGGCTTATATTTGATTGTATCGACAACGCTGTAGTTGGCTTGCAGCCACATGCCTGAACCAGAACCTTGAACTGATTCTGAGGCACAGTACGCTGCTTTAAGTACTCTGCCCAAAGCCCGGCAGCCAATTCCTGGGCTGCTCGACCAGTACTGGTCCGTATTTAGTAACCCTGACGGCGGCGTCTGGAATCGAAGCGTCCATCGATGCGAGGAAATGATGATCATGATGCTGTTCCGTGTCCAAAAGTGCTTTCTGCCTTGCGGGAGCTCCTCGAGCTAGATGCCCAACAGATGGTATACCTAATTGAACCATTGGAAAGCGATATGTGTGAATGGCAAGGAGAAAGTCTTCTTCGCCTGCCTCCTCTGTCTGAAACACGCGTGGGCGGAGGAGTTACAGTATGCCTTCCATCTGATGTCCCACATGCATTTCAGCCTTCTCAGTAGGAGAACAATATGATCGCAAAGGTTTTCAAGTCGCCCGACTTCCAAGATTGTCTCTTCGAGTGATCAAGGACTCTCTATCGATCTCCGCCAGCATGGAATTGCGGAATTCTCGACAGCTCAACTAGCGGACCTTCAACCTGTTCCTGCAGCAGCACTCCGAGACCCACATTGATAGCCTCGAGCCTGGTGGTGATGATGACGATGTCCACTTGTTTCGGGCCCGTAGTTCGTTGACGTATTCCGATGTCCAGCGACGGCAGACTTGTTGTTTGAAGGCCGTCACCACGTCGAAGTGCTCTAGATTGGTGAGGTTAAGTGTGTGGATTATCCGCTCAGGTAGCGCATAGGCAGACCTTCTTCATAAAAGATAAGGAATATGGAATTGTCACCCAATATTAGTCAGTGTGGAGGTAAATGATAGTGTAAATATTTGATACCGTTACGTAATTCCGGATTGAGGAATTAAAGATTATTTGGGATTTTCTTTTTGAAAGAATTAAAGTTTTCTTCTGAACAAACTCGGAGTCAAAACGAACTAATTCCACATTAGCAATCGATCCGGCTTGTGGCTTATAACAAATCAGCTTATAATCCTATATATTTTCATTGGTTTATAGTCTATGGTCGCGAAAGTCGACAACTGGATAGCTGATATCCTGACTTCGTTCACGTCCTTTACATGGCTTCGAGAGGACAAATCGAAAGCCGCAAACGAGCCGAAACAAAATGAAATGAAACGCACTGAATTTACAAGCAATGCTGCGCATTCCTTTGTCCATTTATACATCTGCCATGTTTACAAATTGCACTCTAAACCAAACTTAACTACTAATTTAACTATCTAATCCGTTCTTTACTGCGGTGCAGTTTTCTCGGGGCTACTGGTAGAGGCAGCCTCCTCAGCGTGCGGCTTCTGTTTTGCAACCAATTCCTGCTCGGTCAACAGTTTTCGCTCAGTGGAGATGAGGTCCTGCAGCTCGTCCTCCCAGCCCAGATTTTTGGCCAATTCCAGCACACCTTCGTCACAGTCACCAAGGAAGGCCACATCCCGCGTGTTGTTGGGCCGGTTGTAGAGCAGAAAATCGTCATTGTGTCCATCCATCCAGGTGGTGTATTTGGGACGTCCAACGGCGTCGCGATTAATCAGCAGTCGCACACAGCGCGGTCCAGGGAGCTGCGCCAGCGATGCAAACGGATGCACTTCCAGCGTGGTGCCCATGATAATCAGAAGGTCACACTCCTTGAAGTCTCCATCTAAACTGTTGTGGAACTTTTCGGGTAGATTTTCGCCAAAGAAGACAATATCCGGCTTCACGATTTTCTTGCAGTTTGTGCAGGTAGGCAGCCGATCGGAGAAGATCTCCTTCTTCATCCAGGCCATGTCGTACTCCTTCTTGCAGCCAATACAATGGTTTGTATGGAAGCTGCCATGTGCCTCGATTAACTTTTCATCGGGTATGCCTGCCAGGCGATCCAGCGTGTCAATGTTCTGCGTGTAGTGCCTCAGCAGCATACCCTTCTCATGCAGCAGCCGAATAAAATAGTGTGCCGTAGTTGGCTCAAACGAACCAGGGTACAGCTCCTTGGCCAGGGCAAAGAAGGGAGCTGGTTTCTTCTTAAAATAGCCCAACTCAAATATGGCCGTGGGGTAGGGTAGCTTGTATTTAGCCAGGTTGTCGTACAGTCCCGAGCCGGGTGATCGAAAGTCCGGTATGCCAGCGGCTAAACGAGCGACAACAAATGTAAAAGGCGCGGCCAGACGTACACTCAGTTGACTTACATGTGGATATTCCGGCTCCAACCATGGTGATAATCTTCTTGAATCCATTTTCACGCCAGTGGTCGGCAAGGCCCTTAAAGGTCAAGTCCGCTATGACCTGGAATAAATCAATAATGCATCAACATTCATTTAATCAGTGAGTGGTCCACCATACCTTCTCCTTCTCCTTAGTCGATGAGGGACCTACATTCAAAGTGCTTGCTAGCAGCCGACTTATACCATCTACTGTGAGACTACCTGGAATTAACACAAAACATTACTAAATGACAGTCGTGACAATTGTTTATTGTCAGTCCGAACAGACCTTCGCTATTATCACTTTCGGCGGAATCCTCTTCCTTCGGGGCGATCTCCACTGCAGCAGTGTCATTCTGATCGTTGTCGCTCATAATGAAGCAGGTTTTCAGCCTTTGATAGTAGATATATCGAAGGTCTCGAATTTTTCGGAAAATACCTGCCGTTTGTTTTTGTGTTTTTAATAAACCAATATCGAAACACGCTACCTTCGTAATTTTCGACTCATCGATATTTTCCATCCGATAGTTGCTATCGAAAGTATTCGCGATATGAGCAGTGCGCAATTCGGCACATTTTTGGTGCGCAGCCCTGGTACGACTATTCGATATGCACTATCGGTGGGCGAGCGACCACTGCCGATGCAGCTCTGCCCGTGCCGAGGCCCTGGAAAACCACGCCAGTCATTTTTGTTTTGATAAGGATACGGATACAAAAAGAGCGTGGCCTGAAAATTTTGCATTAAGCATATAAAACGCAACTTTAAGATTCGCGAAAACTGTGAAAACTGTGTGGCATGTTGTGCAGGACAGAGTGTTTGCCAAATTTCTTGCGATAACGCATACGTGGAAGCGACGTGCCAGGTGCCAGGGCAGGTCGTGGTAGCAGCAGCAGCAGCAGACAGCTAAAATAACAAACCGACGGCGGAGTGTGGTGGGGCTCTGGTGGCAAATGGCTGCGGGGTTTCAATTAAATTGTATAACGCGCCCACTCGCATCCTTCATGTGCAGACAATAAGCGACCCAAAAGTCACTAGCTGGAGCTGAAGATTTTTCGAATACCTCAGATCGGTGAGGCAAACCCCATTACTATGCATCTGAATCATGCAACTGCTGCGACAGCTGCCATGGCCAACTATCAGCACTATGCGCCCGCCCAGCTGGCCACGCACGGTGGCGGCGGCGGTGGTGGTGGGGGCGGGGGTGGAGGAGGCGGTGGCGCTGGAAACGCCTTGCAGCAGTCGACCACCCTGGCCAGCCTGCAGCAGAGTCAGTTCGCGTTGCACCAACTGACCGCTGTGCAGGCCATCCAGCATCCCACCCACCAGACCATGCTCCATCCGCAGCATCCACTGGTCCACCTGCTAGATATATCGACGACCACAACGAATAGCGGGGGCAATCACACGCCCATACCGCCCATGAAGCAGGAGATTGTGCAGACTTTCATCAAAGAGGAGGAGTCGGTGGTGGACGACCCGCGCAAAAAGAAGCAGTGCCACGTGTGTAAGAACAAATTCCGGCAGCTCACGACGTTACGCAACCACATGAAAATACACACCGATGAACGGCCCTACAAGTGCAAGCACTGCGACAAGGCATTCCGCCAGATCTCGACACTGACCAACCACGTGAAGATCCACACTGGCGAGAAGCCGTTCACCTGCAATATCTGCGCCAAGGACTTCCGGCAGCAGAGCACACTGATCAATCACATCAAGACGCATAAGGGTAAGTGCAGGCCTTTGACTGAGGAATCACCTTCGACCAGACCCTGAACATCCCAACAACTATTTCCCATTCCGCACTTTCCCCACATAGCGGCAGAGTCGAGCACGCCGACGTCACTACTCAACTATCAGCCCCAGCCGCAGTCATCTGGGAAGATGAGGAAATCGCAGGCGAATCAGATGCACAACGCCTACCAGCAACAGCAGCAGCATATGCCGCGCGTACAAATCTCAAAGACTCTATACTCCGGCAGCTACAGCTCGCCGGCGGCCGAGGAGCTGGTGAAACCGTACCAGTGCAGCGTGTGCAAGCGGCGATTCCCGCAGCTGAGCACGCTGCACAATCACGAGCGGACGCACATCGATCCCAAGCCGTACAAGTGTGAGACGTGCGACAAGTCTTTCAGCCAACTGGCCACGCTGGCCAATCACAAAAAGATCCATACGGGAGATAAACCATACACGTGTTCCTACTGCCACATGCAGTTCCGACAGCAGAGCACCCTCACCAACCACATGAAGACGCACACGCATCTGGCCTCCCAGCAGCAGCAGCAACAGCAGCAGCCAGGAGGCACAGTCACAGCCACAGGTGAGCCGCTTGTGTGTTCGCCCTACAACTGAGCCGCTTTCTGTTATCACTGTGTGCATTGACCATTAACGCTCTTCCCTAACGAAGCTTTTATTTAAATTTTGTACGCATGCAAACACCGATTCGTTACGATCCGACCACCAAACCGCCAACCGATCAACCCTCCTCCAACATCAACCGAACCAATCCGCACATCGAATTGCAGTGGATCACTCGATGCCAGTGCCCCTCGCGCCGGGAACGCAGCAACTGACGAGCGGACTGCTGCCCAACAATCTGCACGGGGCAACGCACAACATCCTCCAGCTGGAGCATCATCCGTTACTGCATTTTCTGGACAGCGGCACCACGGTCAGCTCTGTGGTAGCCAGTAATGTGGCTGCTGTTGCGGCCAAGTCTGAGCACTTCCAGACCAACACCAAGTCTGAACACTTCCAGGCCGCCTCGCCGCCCGGTCGCATAACCATGGTGGGCAACATCAACATGCTGAAGGGCGAGAATCCGGACCGTCCGTTTGGGTGCAGCGTCTGCCAGCGGTTCTTCTCCCAGCAGAGCACCCTGGTCAATCACATTAAGACGCATACGGGTGAGAAGCCGTACAAGTGCAAGATCTGTGAGGTTAACTTCCGACAGGTGGCCACGCTCAACAATCACATGAAGATCCATACTGGTGAAAAGCCCTACAACTGTTCCTACTGTCCCAAGCAGTTCCGGCAGAAGAGCACCCTGCAGAATCATCTAAGGGTGCACACGTGCTAGGCGAGAGGCGACGCCACAATCTCCAGCCACCAGTCCGCAGCCAGCGCAGCCCAGCCCAGCCCAGCCCAGCCAGCGAGCCAGTCAACCAGCCATTGAGGAATAGTGCAATATGCATGCCACATACATAAACCGCATACAGTTATAGAGTTGCATATGTATACAGAATATGATTACATGAATACTATATTTGAATTATATACTCAAAAGTGTTATTTACCTGCTGTGCAGAGCGCAATTGTATGTAACTATATAGTAGGAGAGCTGATCCACATGCATGTCCAATTGTAAATTAAGGCTAGCCGTACATCGTACATCGTACATCGTACATCGTACATCGTACTGTCGTACATCTGACGTGCACACACGTACACATATAATACAGGGTGTTTAAGCCTAAAACTCTATACTATCCCCCCACTACTACTAATACTACTACTATTAGCCTCATAACTGTTGTCACCCAATCCCAGCCCCAGCCCCAGATCCAGCCTCTCCCGTTTCCCTTCCCCCGAGTCAAGTCTAGCTTCTCTCCAGCTTTTCTCGTCGTGTTAAATGTTAAGCCCCGAAAGCAAACTAAAGTAAAGTAAAGTAAACAAATAATGGTAAAACTAGTTATTGCTATACTGTGTGTAACCCCCCGCCCGCTCTAAACATATACATACATAAGTTGTCATCGAAAAACAAAAACGCAACTATTTATATAAGTGTACTCTTAGCGGATATTTAGCAGCATCTTTTACTCAAATGACTACAAGCGGAACGACGGCGCGATCGCATAAATAATCAATAATACCACACTATTCATGAAAGAAAAGTTTAAAAACAAACCGGGTTGCTTATACTAGAACAAACAAAAACTTAGAAAACGGAGAGACGAGACGCGAGAGTCCCTATATTAAGCGAAAAACAAGTAAAACCAGCTTTTACTGCATAGACACACAGAGTATGAACGTAAATGTTGTAGAAAATATATAGTATATATACAAAATATACATATAAATAAACTACTTGTAAATGTAAGCAAAGCGAATAGCTAAAAACAACAACAATAAAACATGGAAAACAAGAAATATTACCCATATTCAACGTACCCCACTAATCTTGCATTCAGACCTTATCAACAGCACTCCCAGAGATGTTGTCTCCTACGAATCTTATATGATGTGCTATTCTATCACATTTTCCAATCACTCAACGATTTAGTTAGATTTGCCGAACGATTGCCCAACCTATTATAGAACTCATTTGAGAATTTTTGATTGCAGTCCAATAGGATTGGAGTTTAAATATAAATCCTGTATATCCCCCTGTATATCAAACAGGGACATTCCCATTAACTCAAGGTTAAGGAATACTTATGTTCATAGCGATCTCTTTCTGCAAGATGAGCTTACAATCAAGCTGGAAAAAGGAAAACTGCAAATGCAGTATCTAATATTCGAAGCAAAACAATTTTGAATCAAAAAATCCAATTGGAAATGTGTGTTGCTTAGGATCACTTTGAAAAGGGCTAGATATAATCCAATACCAAAGAAGTATATATCCACTAACTAGAATACTAGAGGAATACACAAATGTGGCCAGCAGTGTGTCCGCCAGTAGAGATAAACAACATTGAGTTTTCTTGGATTCCCTGCAACTTTAAGAACGAATTTCACTCACTTAACAAATCAAAAGCATTAAATATTGAAGATGATAGCCAGAGGAATATCCATACTTTTTTAAGTATCACCCACGTACGTCGCACAAGTATTACTATCATCATAGTAATAGAGGTATTATAGAGGTATAGCAAAGTTATCCGCTATTCCCAAATTGTTTGAGAAGGTTTTAACTCCGCACTTGCAACATCTCTGCAAGTCACTTATATCTCCAACTCAGCATGGATTTATAAGGCGGCGATCAACCACCACGAACTTGTTAGAGTTTACCTCTTTCATTATTAAAGGCTTTAAAGGTAACTTACAGACGGATGTTATTTACACCGACTTTAGTAAAGCATTCGACTCTGTAAACCATTCCCTTTTAGCACATAAACTTGACCTTTTAGGGTTTCCGCCCAACCTCCTGAGATGGATTTCTAGCTATCTTTGTTCTAGGTCTCAAAGAGTCCTCTTCAAAAACTCCCTCTCTTTACCAGTAAAGGTTTCTTCGGGAGTACCACAGGGCAGCCATCTAGGCCCCTTACTCTTCACACTCTTTATTAATGACTTGCCTTCAGTAATAACATACTCTCGAGTACTTATGTATGCGGATGATGTTAAACTCTGTGTCCAGTACAAGGACATTTCATTTCATTCTCGCTTGCAATCCGATCTCAATAGCTTTCAGTCATGGTGTTGTGCAAACTTGTTACACCTTAATGCCTCGAAATGCAAAGTTATGACATTTCATCGTTCTAACCCTTTGTTGGCTCCCTACACCCTATTTGGGGGTTCTCTTGAGAGAATTACCCTGGTGGATGATCTGGGTGTTATGTTAGATCCCAAGTTAAAGTTTTCCGAACACATTTCTACCATGGTAAATAAGGCCATGGGCGTGCTTGGGTTTATAAAGAGGTGGTCAAAGGAATTTGACGACCCCTATATAACAAAGACTCTCTATACCTCGCTTGTTCGTCCGATCTTAGAATACGGCTCCTGTGTATGGTGCCCTCAGTACAAAGTACACCAGGACCGTATAGAATCAGTACAGAAAAACTTTTTACTCTTTGCTCTGCGGGGCCTTAACTGGGATGCGGGTGTAAGACTCCCATCTTACTCTAGTAGACTATTATTAGTAAACCTCCCATCCTTAGTTAACCGTAGAAAAATGCTTGGTGTGATATTTATGCACAACTTGATCAGGGGTGACATAGACAGCCCTGATCTGTTGAGCCGCATAAACTTCACGATTCCTATTAGACTGACTAGAAACTTTATACCGTTGTTCCTTCCACTTTGTAGATCGAATTATTCCTTGCATGAACCGTTTAGGGTCTTATGCTCGGATTATAATTCCCTCTACCATATTATATCCTCCACTAATTCTCTTCCTCTTATTAAATTACTAATCCTTACACACCTTTCTAGTAATTAGTAATTGTAGTGGTATTTGTATTTTGTATTTTATTGCATGCTTAATTTCTTAATAAGTTTAGTGCTAATTTTCCTCGAAGGTTAGTCTAATATCTATCTTTCTTGCATGCTCGCGTTTGGTTCGGCTACGCACCGCGCGTCATGCGGCAGCGCCCCTCGGTCGGTTGGGCGGGAGGAGGGCTGCGTTTTGCCTGGGATCCGCGCGTAACAGCCTTCTGCTGGTGTCACACGGGCCACTTGACGGTGCAGTAATTGCATCGCCTCTTGTTAGATGCAGTCATTGCATGTCAACGTCCAATAATCAGCTGGGATCCTTTGGGTGTACTCCCCAAACCCATACCCAGTAAATGTCATTTAAAGATGGGCAGTAGCCTCTTTTTATTTGATTTGAAAAAAAGATAATTTATTAAATATGCACTTCAAGTGAAATGCTTGCAGGTCTGGGGGGAATACAAGGGAAAACAGGAGGTCATGTATATAAGATATAGGTTGTACTAAAATTAGATACATATTATAAGCACTTTCGCATTAAATCTCTAGGGTGCGGGTGGTGTCGAGCAGACAGCCTCTCGAGCATTGTTCGTTCGTTAATCGCTCCAAAAGGTAATCGGGTAAAAGGTAATAAAAGAGTACGTATCCGTATAATTACTCAAAGAAGGGAGAGACAACAACGAAACGAAAAAGCGAACTAGCCAAACAGTAGTATCGAAGATATTGGAATTTTTACGAAATCAGGTGCAACTATACTATATGCATGTGTGTGTGTGTATATATTTATCTATACGCTATCCTAGCCTACCCAAAAAGTGTTTCGGAGTTAAGAAGGAGACTTGCACTTGGCCGTTAACTGTGGGATAGTGGGAGGGTGGGGAGGGGAGGGGAGTGGAGGGGACTTACGAGTACATACGGCAAACACTTATGACTTAGTTCGTGATTGGATTCTCGCGCAAATAGAGTTTCTAGCTGCACATCTCTGGCAGCGGGCAAAGGCAATACAGTATACAATAAAATAGTAGGCGTCGTACAGTCTGAATCTGTTTTATAGGGTGTATTATAAGTTATCTAAAGGTTGACCAAAATGTATTCTTGAGTCTAAACAAATTGCGCCCGCAACTGCCCTGCCCTCTCCTGCCCGTCCGCGTCTACTTGAACAGCCAGCGCAGGATCAGGCTAAAGGTCAGCCCAATGAGAGCATAGATCAGCGACTTGATCACCGTCGACAGGGCCACACCGCCGCCCAGCATGTTCTGTGCGCCATGTCTCAGGTGCGGCGGGGGAGCGTACTGCATTCGCTCTAGTCGCCGGCTTATGTCGTTCAGCTGCTTCGAGTGCTCCTCCAGCACCCGGTTAACCTGATCGAGGGCCGCGTTAATTCTGAAAGGTAGAAAAATCGATACTGTAGTACTTTCCACGAGGAGAGAGGCAATGCCCTTTCACTTACTGCCTAATCGAGCTTGAGGAGCTCCGCTTGACCACGCCCTGGGGCGACTGGCTGGAGTCCGAGTTGGTGTCTCGCGGCGCCAGTACCAGGCTCTTGTTCTTGGCCTTGGGCGCCTTCGAGGAGGCTGCCCCCGATTGTCTGTGCGAGCGGGCCACCGGTTCGAGGGAGCTCCGCAGGGGATGCATAAGTTCGGCCCCGTGGACGATGGGCACCGACTTGTGGCGAGTCTGGGTCAGCACCTTGTACTGGCACTCGTACTGCCGCACATCGTTCCGGACGTCCCAGGGCCGAAGGTCGGCGTACTTGTATATCCACTGGCCGTAGCTATCCAGCTCGAAGAGATTGGGCACGTATGGGGCCTCGATGCTCGAACGCTCCTTGGCGTCGGCCCGCTGCTTCTCCTCCAGTACGGTCTTCTCTTCGGTGGCAGCCACCTGATCCTCGCGTGCAATGGACTCTGAGACGCGCTCCCACAGGCGCTGCGACTCGTGCGGCTCCTGCGCCTCGACGGGGACCAGGTATCGAGGCAGCCGCTTAGCGCGCAGATCGGCATCCACCTTGAACAGAAGGGTTTCCTCGCCCGTCTTGGCGTCCTTGATGCGGCACTCCCTGTCCCAGTGTCCATTGATGGTGGCCAGCGTCTCCTTGCCCAGCTTGATTTTGCCCACAACCACATTGGTGGACTCTGAGCCGCCGAGGAATGGCTTCAGCTTGAACTCTAACTCCGTCCTGTAACCGGTGTTCTCGCACTCGATGTTTATCTTGCCGCCCAGCTCCATGGACAGCGTACCCATCAGAATGCCTTTGCAGTGGGCGTAGGGCGTGGTCGCTGTGTAGCATTCACCGCGCGGCAATAGCGTCATCGTGGCCGCCCCCTCAAGGACGGCGGAGGTGCTATTGCCGTAGAACTTCGATTTCGCCAAGATGGAGCAGGTGATGCTGAAGCCATCCTCGCGATTCGTCACGTAGAAGGCCGACACGGGCGGGTGATGCGAGACCTGCTCGGCAATATAGAATGTCCGACTGCCGCTGGGATGCTGCCAATAGCAGCGGAACGTCTCGCCCAATATCGGATTGTAGGGCTTCTTCAGGCCCTTGGGTTTCTTGTAGAAGCTGGACATGTACCATTGCACGATGATCTTCATGCGCGTGAATGCGTCATCCTCCTGCACGGCCCTACAGAGAGAGTCAGAGTCTTAGTTGGTAATGAAGCACACGTTAGGGGAAGAGATGACCTACTTGGAGAGCAAATCTGCGTGGTAATACGAGTCCGAGAGCTTGTCCAGAAACGAACGTGGCTCCAGGATGAACGTGGGCAGCACCACCTTGCTCAGATCCATGCCAGGACGCACCTGCTTCACAATGCACCAGATGAGGCTCTTGTTCTCGTCGGCCAACTCCTCCACCTGCTCCCCTTGCTGAAGAAGAAACGTGTGAAATGTTGTGGGAGGGAGATGACTTCCGTTTAGTTACCTCCCCAAATTCCTCTTCGGTGATGGGCACATAGGTGGTCTCCACGCAGTCGGCTGGTTCTAGGGTATCATCTTGCACTGCCTCGCCCGCATCCGACTCCGATTCTGACTCCAGGCCCGACATGGCGGCGTTGGGCGCTTCATTCTGACTGTCCGCGTCCAGATCTGAAAGGGATAAGATTCATTGAAATGAGACACACGTTTAGCATTTGCCACAGACGTTTCTCTAGCTGTAGCAGCCTCTTAAGAACAAAGCTCTCGACTGCTGTCAGCCTCATTAGCGAAATACAAGGCAGATGCAGGCGCTCTTGTTTTACAGCAGCAAGGACTAATGATTAAGAGGGGCTCTGACGGTGTCAAAGAGGATGCCCTTCCCGGCACATACTCTATAATTTTGAACAATAATTTCCAAGTCTACGCTGATCCTGATCCTAGCCAGCTACAACTACAATGACATCGACAACGACAGCACTAGCTATATCTAGCTATAACGACTTGTTCGGCATCACCCTTCACGTTGAGGCGGAACCGGGGCTGCAACGGGCACTCGGGCGGAGCGCTCACAGGCCGCGGATCAGGGCCCGGGGCAGGGGCCGGGGCCGGGGCCTGGCTGCCAGCGCTCGTGTCACCATAGTCATCCTCGTTCTCTTCGCTGGAGCTGCTGCCGCCCAGGGCCCCTGTTCCGCCCAGGGACAGGGACTTGCTGACGGGGCTCAGGAGGCGACGCTTGCGCTGGGTACCCAAGGCGTAGTCGCAGCTGGAGGCATCGCTGCAGGAGCTCTTTCGTTGCTCCGAATGATGCCGAAAGTGTGGCAGCCGCTTGGTGCGCTCCCAGTTGCTGACGGCGCTGCTGTAGAGCTGCTGCAGCAGTGGAGTCTGGGCCCGCGAGGGCAGGCTGGTGTCGGAGCGCGAGGACTCCATGTCGGGCGGCAGCGCCAGGAACTGACCCCACTTACCGTGGTCGTTGAAGTGCTTCTCGTAGTCCGCCTCCGACCACTGTGTCTCGTGGGAGACGGGCAGCAGCGGTTCCCCCACGTAGGAGGTGTTGGACGGCGCTGTGCTGCTGTTGGTGCGCAGCAACAAAGCCGAGCAGCGCAGCGACAGTTCCAGGGCATCCATCCAGCATTTACCAGCCGCCTGGCTGGGCGCTCGAAAGATCAGGTAGGCGGTTGGTAATGGCTGGACAACGGCGCCTGCAAGAACAATTCTTTAGAGGTCGCATCGGGCATACGTTGTTTGGCGCTTGGCCACCACTCACCAATTGTCTCCTTGTCGGGGCCGCGTGGCGCCCAGATGGACTGCTCCATGGGATGGAAGAGCTTGAAGCAGAAGCCATCCTTCTTGCTGGGCCGCTCGATCACCTGGCACGCGGTCAGCATCACGGTGCCCACCCAGTGACTGCTCTTGGTCTTCTGGCTCTTGTAGATCAACAGCAGTCCCGGCTTGAGCACGCACCACAGCTTCGTCCAGGACTTGAGGGTGCCGCGGACCTTCAGCCAGTCGGCCAGCACAATCACGGCTGGATCCTGCAGGGAATTCATCAGCTCGCTGGCCACGCGTTTCTTCTCTTTGCGGTAGTTCTTCCTCTGGGCCTTGTAGGACTCCTTTCGATTGAGTTTGGCGGCATCGGCAGCGGACTATAAGAACGCCAGAGATCAAATAAGTAGGACATACCATACCTGGAATTCGTGAGACTAAAACCTTTCTCCCAAAACAGCAATGGAAAACGTTCAAATACTGGGATATTTTCATGGATTCAGGCGGGTCTCAGGCGCTTGGTGCTCTTACGTCAAGAGTCTACGGAAAATTACTCAAGGCAGAGCTGTCAAAAGTTCTTTTTGGAAGCAAGGAAGCCCGAAACTCAAGTGTTAATCTAATTAACATTTATAATTCCAATGAAAGTGGAAAGAACAATGTATCATATCCATTCCATGTTGCACGTGGCATGTTCCAAGTCCATCGATTACAATAAATATCAGACCAGACCAGACCAGACCAGACCCCACTCTTATCGCAACTTCTTGCCCGCCCCACCTCCCTGTAGATATAGATAATGACCCCATTTCTGTTTGCTGGTAACCAATTTTTGATAAACTCAAACTAAATAAAATTATACAATAATTATGTATGTACGTATTCGGTTCGGGAATACTTGCCTTATCTGCCACATTGCCGTCCCGATTATCTGAGGCCCAATTGGCGATTCCTGTAAAACGGAAAATATGTTCTACGTAATGATTGTTTTTCATTAATCAGGAGCTTGGATGGGATATTCGTGTGTGGTGTGTGATTTTGTAGATGGTTTTAATCGATCCGAAAAATGAACAAAAAATATATCGCAAAAGGGGAAAAGTTTTCCATCGACGTTTTACGATCGAAAAAAAAAAAAAAAACACAAAAAACTAAGAAGAGGCCCAGAGACTAGGACCAGGTTGGGTCGGCATAAAAATCAACAATATCTATACTAAAGGTGAGCGCAGGTCGGGGGAGGGGAGGGCCATGGGTCGCGGATGGGCTGCCGGGGCAGTCGTTTTATTTATTTTACGAATATGCTTTAATTTATTTCGCAAGATACACAAACAAACATCGACTACATCTCGCGCGGTTCCGTACACCGAGAGAGCGAGAGTCTTATGGGAGGTCGGTCGTGGGGGCGCGGGACGCGGGGCACGTATGGGGTGGCATTGTCAAGTGTCTCGTACTTGCATTTTACGGCACTGCTGTCCGGCCCTCGCGCTCATTCCACATTATTATTAATTTCGTTTATTGCTTGTCTAAAAATAAATACCCAAAAAGAGTATATAATCGTAAAGCTCACACACACACACACACACACACACAGAGAGAATAGATTATAATTTCTTGTTGACTTTTTGTTGGTGGATTAATAATTGCCACTTGCTTTGTAGAAGATTCATGACCAATCGGACATAACTCCGGTTCTCCGGCTCTCCACTGGTTTCCGTTCCGAAGATTACATCCACACACAGATGTATGTGTGTGCAATATTTACAGGCAGTAGTTTCTTTGCATATTTATTTTCATTATTATTTTGCTCATTCACACGTTTTACAAGGCGGCAGACGGCACGGCACGGCACGGCACGGCACTACATGGCGTATGCGTTATGCGTTATGCGAGAGGGAACCGTTTCGAAGACGCCGACGACTGCGTGCTGAATGTGTTTTTTCGACTTCTTTCTGTTTTCTGCTTTCTTCTTCTTTTTCTGGCTTTCTGCCGTTCCGCCGGCCTCTCGCGCCGACTGATTGAGATATATGCCGCCGGGCGCTAAACGAAACGCTCGCCCAAAAGCGCACAAGCGGCGGCAGCAAATGACAACTGAAAGCAGCAGCAGAGCAGAGCAGCAGAGCAGAGCAGCAGCAGAGCAGCAGCAGAGCAGAGCAGAGACCCGTCAGCGCGCTGAGAGCTGGGGCCCAGCGGCGATGACGACAACGTCGGTCGGCCAACACAGCCACAACAATTGTCTGGTCTGCCCGCTGGCTCGCTCTGTTTATGCACTCGGAGCACGCTCGTCATTATTTTTGAAAGAGCAAATAGCCAAGAACCGAAGGTATTGATACTTTTACAAACTGATCATTCCAGTGTCCAATCTTCGATGACAAGCCAAAGATAAAAAAAAACTGAGGCTCCTACTACTTTCTACAGACAGATCTGGTCTAGTTTTATTTTGATCAATTTTGGTTGCGTTTTAGGCAAAGATTTTCCACTGCATTTGAACCATATTTGGTTGGAACATTTTCAGCAAGAATCGGTCCTGTTTGGCCTTAATTTCGGTCAGCGGTGGGCAGTATTTGCTGCGTCATGCACACGACATGTATGTTGCTCTTTGCACTCGCTTGTGCAAAGGCAGCTGTTGGGAGCAAAGATTTAAACTAAAGCTACCTACAATTCCATCACAGACACAAACCACTAAAAAGTGGGGATATTCTGTACCCCTAAGCCTAGGGGACATGCAAAAATGCCCCCTAAGCGAACGGGCACATATGTACCTTTCGAATGTCACGAATCGCCACGAGCGGGAGAGTGTATATTTCGTGGCGCACGAGTAGTGTGGCAATATTTCTAGCAGAGAAGATCGCCGCTGGTTCTGCCTCTGCCGCAGCCAGCAGACAGTTCAAACGCGTGAATATACGATATAGACAACATGTGTGTGGGGTGTTCAGATAACGATAACAACGCTGACCTCGCTGCTGATGCTCTGCCGCAAACCTTTCGGTAGGCGTTATCGATGGGGGCCCAGCAGAGGAGCTGCCATATCTCCGGCCGGACAGCAGAACAGCGTGTGTTCTGAAATTATATATTGTACAACACAACACCCCGCAATTATGGCTTGCTTTCGTGGATTGTGACTCAGGTGGGATCTCCTTAGCCCGAACCTATCCCAAGTGGAAGATTAGAGACAGGGCGGATCGTTATCTGTGCACTACAGTGCACGTGCACGTTGGGTTGTACTCGGCCTGGATTTATTCGTTTCATAATAGAGATCGAAATCAAAGCCATTGTAAAGATAGCCAGATATCCAGAACAATCGACTGCAGACCTAGGCCTGAGCAATGGGTTTACTAGCTAGAATCTCAGCTTCTTCCTTGGTATCTCTACTGAATCATAAAATACCTACCTATTTGTTTTTCCAATTAATGTGTTCCCAGTCCAATGTCCATGATAAATGGGTAAGGAACACCTGTGAAATGTAGCATAATTGTCTGCCCAAAGATAAAATCCCGATCGGAGACCACCTGAGCATTTTATGTGTGTCACGGCTGAAAGGAGCGGGCTCGCAGACACCTGTCGAAGCACAGGTGTGCTTCTGGGGATTACTCATCACAGAAATCAGAACATGAACCTTTATCAGTGCCAGCAGCGATAAGGAAAATGCTGTTGTCGTTTCGTCAATGGATGATTCACCTCTTCAATGGACCCTTTTTGCGGGAAATCCTCGGCTGAAACTATCGTAAAAGTCTTTCGCTCCATAGATTCCATGGAGATTTGTCACCTAATTGGTTTCTTATCGCGGATTCGCAACATTTTTAGGGTTGTAAAACTCAAATCAAAGCCATAACCGCCCAGCCAAAGCGATAGCGATAAGATATCGTACGACCAGAACCCAGGGACAAGCATTTATCCAGGTTTCTTTCTGCCAAGCGAAAAGTCCGAACAGCACTCGAGTATTTAATAATAATTCCCGACTCTCCACAGCACACAATCGCAAAATCTTTTCATGATAAAGTGGCCGCAGTCGCTCCACAGAAAATTCTACACAGAAATGGCACGAAAATGGCAATCGAAATGCGTCATGGAATGCTTGGCTGACTTTTTGGGTGGAGGGGCAGTAGGGGGGGTTTCGGTTGGGGGATTGGGTTAAGGTTGGGTGGGGCATATACATAAGTATTAGCTGGCGGATGGGAGTTGCATACAAATGCGACACCAAGCAGTTTTTGGTCAGCAAAATCAGGTGATCAGAGATGATCAGGTGATCAGTTGCTCAGTTGCTCAGTTGATTATGATCGTGATGGATGGAAACGAAACATAAGTTCTCACAACTACGAGAGAGCCTCTCTCTCGCTCTCTCTATAGACTATGATCCCTAGTGGATGATCCTTCGAGTCAAAAGCAACCAAAGAAATTTCAGAGATGATCAGTGATCGCTAATCGATAATAAATGTAATCGAATGTGATGTTTTGGGTGATTGATTGATTGAGTCGAAAGAGTGTTGTTGTTGTTGGTTTTTTGTGGTTTTTTTTTTACGAGGAGGAACTTCACCTGGCGATGATGGCGCCGGACTGTTGCTCAAACTGTCGGTGGATGGCAGTTTCGTTAAGAGCACTTTCAGCGAAGGTCGCCGTTTGAATTTGAAATCGAATACTGAGGAGAGCAGCACACACATATACGGGCGGAGGGAGAAAGAGAGAGAAAGCGAGCAATATGTATATAGATATAGATATATATATATAAGTATATATAGATATATAGAGAAGGTTCACTGGTACAGACAGTTTTAGTTACAGATAGTACGCACACGACACATAGACGACATCGACACGTTTTAAGTACAAAATAAAGCACATACTACACACAGAAGGAACAAAAGGATAGCCACACACACACAGACACACACAGAAGTACAGTTATCTACAGTTTAGAGTGGGAGTGGGAGGAGGAGGAGGAGCTTGATCCAATCAGGCCATAAGGCAGCACCATCCGAGACCATCCATTACCATTACGGGCTTAATTATGTGAGCTCATCAATTGTCTCCGTATCAGACATGGGAGCTCAGCACGCAGTCCCGTTGCAAGCCCCCAACCGCCCCCGCTTAAGATGGTCTCGTTGAGCGCCAAGGAGGCGCCTGCCTGCCTGCCTGCCTGACTGGCTGCCTGCCTGCCTGGCGGTAATTAAGATTAAGGCGATAGGGATAGAGGACTCGTACCAGAAGACAGCATACAATGCCTTGATTGATTTTAAATAAAGAGCTCGAGCGGCCGCCCGCCTTGCAGGCAATCAATTTACGCAATTAGAACACCCCTCACCAGCCACCCAAAGACTCTACGGAAATACTGGAATAGTTCAAAGTTCAGGCATGCGGTCATGCGGCGAGAATTATGGACACACACTCTCTGTTTGGCAATTCCCCAGACCCTCCAATGATGCAAGTGCACTCTGCACTTTCCCACCAGCCCACCCCCCACCATTCCCCTCCCCGGTGACGTCACATGGCGCCACTCTAAATGACCCCCCACTGAGTCCTCGGTTGTGCTTCTTTTTCGATGTAATCCAATTACAATTCCATTTCGGGGATCAATGAAGAGTGACATGTGGCGTGGGGACGGACGGCAGGTAGCCCCCTCTCCACCCCGTTCTAGCCATGTTTTATGTATCCCTGTATTCCTGTAATTTGCCCAAAAGCATGCTATAAAATATTCATCGGGACACACACACACACACACACACACAGGGCAGGATGAAACTCGTTCAGTATGCAAATGCAGATGCAAATCGGCATTAGCCCAGAGACTCGAACAAAAGCACAGCCCAGTGCCCCCCACTCACCCTCTCGCTGTTGACCTTTTCGTGGAGCCATCTTTTAGCCGAAACACTCGCAAAAATAGAGCTCATCAGCACGAGAGGAGGTCCGGCCCAAAGTCTATAGTCCACATTCTGTGACCAGTTGACCCACTCTCCGCTGCGACCTCTGCCCCGCCCGCTGCCCCTTCCGCTGCCTGCCTCTGTGCGCGACAAGCTCCACTTAAAATGTTCGCGAAAACAGTCCGAAAACATCGCCGACACATGTATGCTCTTTTCTTGGAAGATAATTGAAGACTTTAGCGAAACGCGTACACGACATGTAAGCAGTTTACAGCATTCGCTTGTGCAGAAAGGACATGATTTATGGATTGCAGCCCAAGAGCTTTTACCAGCAACCCCAACCATGGAAGACCTCGGGAGGCTCTGCCGCAATCCATCGATTTTTTTCGTATTTATTTTTCACGCATTTTCCCTTTTTTGCAAATTCACGAGCATGTCCGTCGGGGGTGAGGGTAGTGGGGGTAGAGGGCAGTGGGGGCACCTCTTTGACAGGTGTACAATTTTCCAAGCGTTTTTGCACACATTCATGCAGGACCGGGGGCGAGCTCTATTCGCGCCCACTGTGCCCAGGGCCAGCCAAAAAAAGAGACGAGGCGCGGCGTACAATGGCAATTATAAAGTCGCATTTAGCCTGGAGTATGAGCGCTTGTGTCAGCTAATTACGTACACTACACACATACATATAGATATAGATATACACACGAGTATGGATGTATGTATGTGTCTATCTGAACAATAAAAGAATACAACATGCGAAATAAAAAATTTAACGACAATAGCACACAATAATAATCAAGAGCAATAGCAAAAATATACACAAATTTCTGTGGACTTGGGGTCAAAGGGTGCGCGTGCAAAATTCCCTTCCCGCCGATCATTGATTGGTGATGTTGTCCTGGTTACCCACCTGTCCCGGGCCCCATAATGGGGGCCCGCAGAAAGCAAAAGTCATATGCAAATCGATAAACAGCACAAAAGGGGAAAACGAGAAGCAAAAACAATCAAGAAACAGAAACAAAAGCGAAACCATGTTGCAAAAGCAAGAGGGGGGGGGGGGGGAGGTGGGAATGCATGGAAATGAAGAACCTAAAACTTGGGCGGCAGGTGGAAACGAGATACGTTATCGGGTGTTAAGTGATACGTTAGGGCAAATAAAAAGTACTAAACAATTGTGGGAAAACAGAACGAAAATGACACATGATTTAGGAACAGAAATCGGATACGATTCAACTCCAAAGACTTTTGGGGCGAGAGAGCCACGCATAATCATAATCGTATATTATCAAAAGGAGGCTGTCCTTCTGAGGGATCTTGGCTAGGATCTTAGCGATGAATATTCTGATAATAAACGAATCATTTCCCCCTAATCTACTTTGCATTTCCATAAGCTGTACTGCTTTAGCTAATCCACTTAGTCAGTAGATCTGTTCCGCTTAGTGGATAAGTCAATTAATTACTGGGAAAATCTCCATAAGGAATCTGCCTTGAACACTCGACTCGTATCCCTAGTATCACCGATGCCATGGCAACACTGTAAACACAACCACACCGGACCATGGCAAAATGTTCCGATATGACAATCAAACCTTGGGTAATTCGTGGAGAGCCAAGAGCATGGCAACCAGTCAGACAGCCCCCGACTACTTAGTATGTAAATCAATTAACACCAGCGACAGATACAACTACAGCGACAACTACAACTACAACTACAACTACAGCAATCAAAAGAAAAGTGAACGACAGACATGGGACTTGGATGAATGGTTCCGACACAGCGGAAGTGTGCTAAATGCCGAACAAAGCAAAGTGTTAAGCGATAACGGGGCCACAGGGAGAGCCAGTGGCGGGGCGGGGAGATGGTTTGTTTCCGACACTCATCGGATGAATGAATGAGTGAACGGGATGGACATTAGATGAATTTTTGAAATGCGAGAAGCCACAGCAAATCAAAACTGAAACTGATATCAAAAATTATGTTTGTGTGCGTGTTTGTGTGCTTGTGTGTGCCCCCCTACAATGTTAATCATTTTGATTAGTTTCGATTGTGAATGATCGAATCGAAAGAACACATAACGGAACGAAACTAAACGAAATGGAGAACACAGAGGCAGAGAGACACAGAGACACAGAGACAGAGAGAGTGTTGCGGTGGAGTATGTGGTCCGCTGACATTGAATCGAATTAAAAAGGAAAACAAGACGTAAGAGGCAGAGGCAGAGGCAGAGGCAGAGGAAGAGGATAAAGAGAATACGAAATGAACAGAACGCCAAAAAAAGACATCAAAAAGCCATTGGGGCCAGGCCATCTAGCAGGTATGGGGAGGGGATGAGGGGCAGCTGTACTCACCTGTCGACTGACGGAGACCAGCACTGTTCGGTGGCGTAATGCTGATGCCGCCGACACTGCCGGCCGCACCGACGCTCAGGCCCAGCGATTGATTCGAGGCCCCCATCGAGAGGCCGGATGGCGTCACGGCGCCGCCAGTGGCGCTCGGAGTCTGCAGCTGCAGATGGCTGCCCGTCGGGACACTACTGGACTGCTGCGGGGTGCCTGGCATCGAGTGGGAGGAGGTGGATGCACCCGTCCCACTAACGCCAGCCAGGCCCAGCGACGGCAGCAAGGAGTCGCCGCCGCCAGAGTGCTTCGCGCTGTTGATCCTGATGGGCGTACTGGTGCTGGCAGCTGCTGTGCCTGTTACGGAGGAGAGGCTGGACGTGGGATTGACGGGCGTATGACTGCCGCTGCCGCTCGGTTGCGCTGGCTGGGGCGACTGCATGGTTACTCTCGATTAGGATACACTTTCTTTGGGATGCACTTAAATGTTCTGTTCCAGGGGGCTGATCAATAAGGCATTGCTCCAGGTGTTCAGGCAGCCACAATACACACTCAACTCACAGAGAGGGACACACACACACACTGACACACAGTGACACACAAACACACGGGCACGGGGCCAATTATTGATTTTTGTTGTTGCCGCGAGAGAGAGTTTCCCTTCTTTTTTGCACTTTGAATTTGTTCTGTTTTGTTTTGAATTTAGATTCTTCTTCTATCGATTGCTTACAAGCAGCATTGCCAAAAAACAAACGAAAAACTAAAAGTGTGTGCGAGAGAGATGCCTACGTTTTCTCCAGCTCAGCTGTTGTCAGTGCAGGCCGATTGTTAATTAATCCAGATTAATGCCGCGTTATGGCCACGTAACATTAAAACCCACCAATTAGTAGCAATGGCAAAGAAAAACGCTGCTGCTGCTGCTAGTAAAATTCTACGCACACACACACACACACACAGAGAAATGGACACACTTATGCGGGCTTTGTCACACGCTTTTCGTATCTGTATCGTTGGGCCGTTGTCGTTCGTGGGCGTCCGCTGTCGTTCATCCGGCGTCGTTCGCGATTCACGTTCGAATGAAGCTGCCCCACCGTCCAGCCAGCCATCATCATTCCAAAAAGCTAAACTTGTTTCTTTTCGTTTTCGTATGAGCTCATCCACCGCAGCCATTCCATTCCATGCCGCCGCACCACATCACCTCACCGACCAGGCATGGGCAGACGCACACCCCCCTCCTCGGATACGGCTGGTATTATTTTATGACGCGGCAAAGACGCTGGAAGTGCAAAAGCGTCCCGTTGTAAAAGTTAAACAAGCTTTTTGCTGTTTTCGGGGACGACTTACAAGCAGCTGATGCGCTCGTAGTCTCCAACCCTGATCGGGCAGGGTCGCAACACAGCTCAGCCAGGGCTGCACTGGCACAACATTTTGAATTTAATTTTAACAGATTTTTTATTACGTTACGTCACTCTTTGGAAGAGAATTAAGATATGAGTATATACAAAATTCGTCAGAAGTTGGTTTCGCCACCGCCGCTGAGCAAAACTAACTGCACACGCCCCGGCATCGATTCGTACAGTTGTTCGATCTTGTCCACCATCTCCTGGTCGGTGTGCCATGCGTCGTAGAGCACGGCCCGAAACTCTTGGGCATTTTTCGGAGCCTGCGTCTGGATCTTGGGCTGGATGATAGCCATCAGCTGTTCGAGGAGACTCAGGTCACTGCGATTGGTCCCCTCTGGACCCACCAGGGTATCCACGAATATCTCCTTCGGCGGCGTGCCATCTACCAACTTGAGATCGTCCATGTTGAAGACGTTGCGCCAGTCGCGCACTGTCCAGTCCTGGTGTGCAGTGGCCCAGGCCATGCGGCGTTTCTTGACGGCCATACTTAGCCCCACGTTCCTCACATGGATATGCTTTGTCTTGATATCGACCACGCGACTCTGAAGGGTGCGACGGTTCCTCTCGATGTCGTGCTGGAGCACATGCTTCTGCTGCACATGGATGGGATGATCTTGAACCTGCACCACCACATTATCCGCTATTTTGTGCGGGAGGCGCACTGTCTTAATCACTGCCGCGGGCTTCGTCGGGAGTTTTAATGTGGCGGTGTTTCCCTCGACGAGCTCGCACTCCTTGATGCAACTGACCACACTCTCCACGTCGCACTCCATAATCTGTGCTATTTCCTCGAAGGTGTTGGAGCGAATCAGAGCCTGCACTATGCCGCGCGCCGCAGGTACGAGAACCATTCTTGAAGAGCTTGTTGTCTGTCTCTGATGGATACGATTTGGACAAGAGATTTATAGTCCCGGGCAGACTGCGAGGTTTTGTAGCGAACAAGCTAAATTGGCGTCAGATAAATTTTTGCGATCAGGCGTCCCTTTTGCTTTTGACGGATGCTTCCGTTATTCGTCAAACCGGGCTGCCAACTTAATCGCATGCAGCCCTGCTGCAGCGCGCACTTTTCAAATAATCGAATCGAATCACTGGTTTTCTTTGAGAATATGCAATTTAATAGTTTTCTTTCTGATGCTTTATAGAATTACAAAAATAAATATAAAAAACTTGTACATATGTGTTAGTTACCACTACATTAGGAAATGCATTACATCTCTGTCAAATTGTTAGAAAATATATATATGCCAGATGATATTTTGTTTGTCTTTTTTGTTTGTTGTGTGCATTCTTTTACATTCACCATTTAAGAGCGAGCTTGAGTACGTGCGGATTGTGCCCCAGAGGCAGACTCGAAGATGGGTTGTAAACTACTAGCAAGTGGATAACACATGGGTAAAAATATTAGAAATTATTGTAAAAAACAGTATTAAAGAGTTTACATAATCGTGCATAATAGTTGAGGCTTTATAAACATCGTTTCAAAGGAGATATAATTAAGATTAGGGTACTTTTAAGCTCGCTAGAGTGTTTAAACGGGGGTAAAAGGCAACCGAATACTAATGCTATACGAACTGAATGTGCGGAGTGGATAGGGGGGAGAGGAGGGTCGCAGCAGCAGGAATACGTTCGAAAACGTAATATTAAATAAATAACTCTAAAAAGTATGCCTAATTGGTTTAGATCCATGTGCTAGCTTTTGATTTGTGTGTGTGCTTGTGTTTGTTTCTTTTTCCGATTTGTTTCAGGCCAAGCTTTGAGTGTGGGTTTTGTGTGTGGCTGGGACTTTTGGGCTTAAGGTTACGGAATGGGTGGCTGTTGTTAGTCATCCAGTTCGATGTCAGAGTCATCGGAATCGTAGCCGCCACGTATTGTCTTTTGCGCCCGGTTCATGTACGGCTTGCGCTTCACATCTGGCGGCTGCATGAGATCGCCCTTGTACTCAATCACCCCCGAGTGGGCGATGCGCCACTCGAGCATCTCCGTGGAGAAATCGTCGCAATTGCCCAAGTCGGTGAAGCCTACAATGAAGTCCTTCGTCTTGCTGTCCTTCACCAGTGCAATCGTGGGTATCACCTTGATACGCAGGCGCTGCGTCAGGAATGGGGACTTCTCGGCGTTCACCTTGCAGAATTTGGCCTCCACATGCTTAGCGGCCAGGGTCTTCAGGTGCATGTCCACAATACGGCACCGCTCGGCGCTGTCTCTGTAGAAGTGGCACACGATGTTGGGTGATTTTTTCGACACCTCGAAGAACTCTTTCTCATCAGCCAGCTCCGTGTAGGTGCCGTGGCCCTGGGAGAAAGAGGCGAGAATTCGGTCAGCTCTTGGCGGAAATGGTGCGGCAACGACGAGGCATTACTCACATTTCTGAGCCACTCTTGCTTCTTGTTGTTCAGCTCTTTCAGTTCGCGTAGGCGCTGCTCGCGCAACACCTTCAGGTCGTCAGAGTCCAGGTTATCCAGGCGGTCGAGCTGCTGGTCCAGCTGCTGCTCGATCGTCTTGGCCGCATTGAACAATTGATTTTCCAATAGGTGTGCCATGGCTGGAGGTTCTATCTGTCCAGATAGCAAACAAACCTGCGCTGAAGATTTTCCTCTGGTTTAGCTCGGGCTCTGCGTGTGGTGCGGCATGTTGAGGTGAGGTCGAGGTTGAGGTTGTGTATGTGTCCGGCACAAATGAAAGGCGTAGTCATAGGAGCCGCAGATGCGTCATGTTTAGTGGAAAATTCGGTTAAGTAGGCCATGTTAGTGGAAGTTTGCAATGGGCTGCGTCAAATGCAACAACAAATTAACTTTTTAGATGGTACGTACATTGATAGTTCGACTATTTCATTGATTTTAATGGTTTAAAGTTTATTTTAGCGTAGTGTTGTGACAGTGTGACCGTGGATTTATCTACAAAATACACCGTCCAGTCCCGTCTCCACTTTTAATTTACACCAACAAAATATCTGTCGGTGTATTCCTTCATATTCGTCGATTTTGATATTCGGTGGGATATTACTAGTCAGCTTGGATCCTCAACCCTGATCATATAGTTTTATCCGACAATCGAATCAATTTTACATAAGAATGGTTTATTTTAAGAATTCATCTTTATTGTATGTTTATAAAATAAGGTTTAAACAAAGAAGGTCAACAAAAATGTGCTAGGTTTTACATGGTAACTACACATTTGCTACATGTCAACAACATATGTATTTATGGACTACGGACATTTGTATACCCTATGGTCCATAAATTAATATTAAAATCCTGTTCTCCGACCTGACATGTTTTTCACCTATTCATGCATTTAATTATATTCCTGTATATATCTGTATATATCTATCCATATACATTTTTTCAATGTCTGCTTAATTCATTAGATATGATTATTCGAATCAATTCTCAAAGCACATTGTTGATCAAAAAACGGCGATGTAAGGTTCGTACAAGACTTGTAATATCCTTTAGCCGTTTTATCCTGTTGTTCACCCTTTCCATTGCCCATTTAAGAATGTAGCGCAGCTCAGGTAAAAGATATCGTGGTAAACGAGAATAGGAAGGATAGGATAGGTTGGATCTACAAGAATAATTTACAAACAGTATTCTTTTTCGCGGCTTAACTCAAGTTGTTCACCGCATTAGTTAGAGGTGGGTTAAGTTCGTTTCGTTTATCGGTATATTTCGGTATTTTTCTTGCCACCATTTGCCACACTCTAATGAGTTAACGTGTATTTACCATGTAAGGAAATGAATTTTGTGGAAATTGTGGTTGACTGTTTTGATTTAAACCCTTAATCTGACCACTATTGTAGGAAATTGACTTAATAATCGGCTAAAATTATGAAGTCAGACCTGAGGGTCTGTGCTAGCAAGTAATATTCAACCGAATATCCAAAACGAGGAATAGAATATGTTCCAGATTTAACACAAATAATTCGTCAGTATATTTACGGTATATTTTGAAATTTGTGACGTGTTCGGTATATTTCAAAGGCGGAAGACGGTATATTTCATCAGAATATGCGCAGCCACACTGTTCATATCAAAACTTTAATTTCAACTGAGCGGTTGCAGCGCGCGTCGGTCGGCTTGAAGGCGAACAATTCAAAAGTAACAAAGCCCAAGAAAATCTTATTTGAGAGTTAAACAGAAACACAGAAGGCGAAACCAAAACGTTCAAAACGTTTGTTAAAAGTTGAATGTGCTAGCGTGTACGTTATTAGTCCGTTTTGACATTTTCTCAAAAGTGCGAAAGAAGGGAAAAAGGACCGAGTGAAGAAGCAGCGAAAACGACAAGCGAAAAATTTGTTCGTGACTCGGCGGCTGTGCTGTTCTGTTCGCTTCTCCCTCCCGTTCGCCGCTCTCTCTGTGTGTGTTTGTGTGGTGCTGTGGTGCGGCGTGTATGTGAGAGGGCACAAGGAGAATTTGCAAGAAGCAAGAAAGAAACGCCAGAAAAAGAAGCGAGAAGAGAAATAAAACGCAGTGGCGTGTGAATCACGAGTAAGCTGAATCATTGTTATAATTTTTTTTGGCAAGCCCAAGAGCCAAAAGAAATTGTTTATTGCTAAAAGAGCACCGATATCCCCCAGAGAGAGATTGAGAGATACAGCAAAATGGAGCACGAGGACAACGCTCAGTTCGATAATTACATGAACCGCTTCGCGGAGAATATTCAGCAAATCGCTGGCGGTGCCGGCAATGCTGCCGATGCTGCCGGCGAGCTAGTGCCCAACATCGGCACCGCCTCCGTCAAGTCGGGCGAGCACGAAGACGACGAGGAATGGAAGTACAGACATGAAGTGCTGCAGAGCGAAAAGCAGCAGCAACAGCAGCATCTTGGCGGCTTCGGCGAGGAGGATTTCGGCGCTAACGTGGCAGGAAATGGCAACGGCAACGGCACCGGCAATGGGTTTGGCCACCACGAGGCAGAGCTGCTGATCGGCAATGGGCTGGGCAATGGCGGCGGTGCAGCCGCTGGCTTTAGCCTGGTCTACGAGGACGAAGACGTTGAAGTGATCAAGAACGACGGTGACTTCTCGACAAACTCCAACACCACAACGTCGACCGGCGAGGTGGCCGGCCTGGAGCGGCACGATCAGCAGCAGCTGCTGCTGGAGCCACAGCGAGATCTGCTGCAGCAGCAGCAGGAGCTGCTCCATCAGCAGGAGGACGAGGATGAGGCCAGCTCGGTGGCCACCACATATGGCACCAGCAGCCTGAGCGAGAACAATCCCACGCCGCTGGATCAGGAAGTGGTGGGTGGCCAACAGGAGGAACAGGAACAGGCACAGGACTTGCTCGAAGCCTTTGACAACAAGGAGAACAACGATCCTGTTGACGACCCCGAAGAATCTCACTCGCAACTCAATCCCAATGCCGTCGCATTTGTGCCCAATTTTGGCTCCCAGCCGTCATCCCCATTGCCCATGGAGGGTGAGCCTGTCCTGGGCCTGAATCCCCGCCAGCTAATTGGTGGTCCTCTCGACGATATGGTGGCGGAGAGTCCCCGCAAGGGCTCGGCCAGGGACAACATGGACGCCATTGCCGTGCCCGACGAGCGGGAGTTTGACATTGAGGCGGCCAAGCGACCCCATGAACTGGAGCAGGAAAACGATGTCTTTTCCGATGGCAACCTGGAGCAACAGCTCTTGAATGGAGCAGGCGCTGGCATTGTCCTGGGCGCTGCCCCGGTCCTCGAGGATGTCCTGGACCACGGCCCAGAGACCAGCGTTGACTTGGATCTGCCCGTGGACCAGATCATCGCCAGCAACGACATCATGAAGCAGTCGTTCTACGGCGAGCACAATGCCTCCATTGAGGACATACTCAACTCGGTGCAGCCGCTGCCGACTCAGTCGAGCGAGGATTTCGGAGCTGCCGAGAAGGAGCTGCTCAATGTGGAGGAAAAGGAACATGTTTCGCAGTCCCCCTCCACGGAGGAGCTGCAGTACCAGGCCAACGACGACCAAGACCAGATTCAGATTCAGCAGATCCAGCATCAGCAGCAATTGTTTGGCTCTGCCCCCGAGGACCCAATGCAGGCCTCGTTCTATCTGGAGCACACTTCCAGCGAGGCCCATCAGCAGCAGCAGGACCAGCAGCGCCCAGATGAAGATCTTTCACAGCTGCCCGGCGACTCTTCCGATCCCTTCGCCCAGAACGTCAACGACCAGAGCCTGCTGCTGGACACCAGTGCCCCACTGTTCAGCCCCGAGGAAATTGCCCCCGTGTCCAAACTGGACGCCAGTGCCCCCCCGTTCGTTCCCGATGAAAATGCGCCCGTGGCCAAGCTGGAGCTGGAGCCGCAGCAAGCCGATATTGTAGACATTACGCCGTCGCCGCTCTCCTCCACCGAGGAGAAGCATCTCGTCGAGGACACCAAGGAGACATTCGAGCAGGAGACTCTATTGTTCGAGCCAGTTGTCGAGGCCGGAGCTCCCCCACAGGTAAGCCGACCGCACCTGGGCTTGCACAAGAAGATGACTCATTAAAAGTGCCAAAAAGTCATCATTATTATGCACTCGTTCGTCATTTCATTTGTTTTCTCAACCCTGTTTACAAATATATATACATCTGTGCGTGTGCGTGTGTGTGTGTACCAGTGCCAGTACCAGTACCCATATGTGTGTTAATTTTTCCTGTCTTGCTTCCGTTCCTGCCCTGCCTTTGCGCCTCACCTGGCCCGCCTAAAAGAGAAATCATTAAATTTGTTGGTATACTCCTTTGTCCTCTCTGTACAGCTCCTGGCAGTGCATGTGCCGTGACCCCTCCATCTGTCCTTTGTCTGGTCGCACAGTGAAACAGTTGCAGTTTGCTGGCGGTCGCGGGGGAGGGGGTGCGGAAAGTGGGAGTGATAGAAATGTGTTTGCTGTCGAATATTTGTTTAAAATTACATTTTTCACCGAAAGTGGTTGCATTTATTGAGCCTTTACTGTGGTTATTGCACTTCTACGATCCTGGGGTGTGTACCGTTAACTCGCTCACGCGTCGAACAACGTCTCCGTCTCCTCTCTCTCTCTCTCTCTCTCTCTCTCACTTGCTATGTTTCCGCTGGCTCGGTCATGTCCTCGCCCTCGTTCTGGTTCTCATTCTCCTTGACGCGCTCTCCTGCTATTGCTCTGCACTCTCCTGTAGTGGTTGCAGCAGTCGTGCCGCCGGCCCGGCCCGGGGTCGGGTCGGGTCTCGACTGCCACTCAATTTTTACACTCAACAGGACACGCAAGTGTTTCCTTCGCCCTTCCCCTTGCCCCCTGCTCCCTGCCAGAGAGCGGAGCGAGTACATATTTGGTGGTGTTAAGGTTAGAGCCATGCTCTTGGGTGGGGTTTTCCCCCTTTGTCTCTGAGTGCGCGAATGTGTGCGAATGTGTGTTTTAATACTTTAAATTCCGATTTGAAATAATTAAGGGAGGCCCCAAGGGGGTTGTTGGCCATTTGCCTTTTGGCCATCATCCTCTCTTTATTGCCTGCCTTTGTTGTGTTTGCGTGTGTGTGTAGCACTTAAAGCTGTTGACCCGGCTCGAATAAGCACTTAAATATTGTTGTCACCATTTTTTTGGGACTTCCACCTTTTGTCTCTTTTTGTTGGATTTCCGTTCCAATTGGAATATTTTGGTCAAATGCATTCTTGTATGTACTCCACTGAACCTTTTGGCTCTCTCTCTCTCTGTCTCTTTCGTTGCTCTGTTTGCTCTCTGCTCTCAGACTGGCTGGCTGGCTGGCTGCAATCTGCATGGCCAGCAGCAACAACAAAAAGCGTAACAGTAAATGGCGTTGCCAACTTCTGCAAGAGCTGGCAACCTTTTCGCTTCGTTGCAAATTCCAGCTCCAATGCACACACACATACACCGATGCATATGCACGCTTTCATAATTACAACAACACTGAAAACAGCTGCACACAGACAAACGGACAGAGATAGCTAGACAACGAGTAGGCGCGAGAGAGCGAGAAGGGGAGTGAGAGACGAGCTTTTGGGTTCGCTTAATTGGGTCATATACGGTTTTCGCTTGCATGTGTATACGATTTTTATGATTCTCTTTATATTTGTTTTATGTGTATTTTCTTCTTTGTCTTGCTTTGGGCATTGTTGTTGGTGCTGTCGCTGCTGTTGCTGCTATCGGCATCGGCCACTTCCTGTGGGAGTTGTGCTTTGGGTGTAGCTTACGCCTGCAGACAAAACGATTGAAGAAAGCGGCCGCCGCTTGTCTTTTGCCCTCTCTTCTGCTTCTTCTTATTCTCCTCCTTCTGCATGCATTTCATTGTTTGCATATTACTATATTTATCAAAATGATTTGTGTCGTTTTGTGTCTCTCTTTTGTTATTTATTGCCATTCTGCTCTTCCCCTTTCCCTGTCACCCAATTCGTCCTGCGCAGGGGCCATGATGTTTTTGACCAGATGTTTTTCCTCAAGGGTATCTACAATTTCGGACCCTTTGCCAGCCCTTCTTTTTGTTGTTTATTATTACTCTGCTTTGGCGCACGCCACGTCTTCCCTTCCCTTCTCTTCCCTTCCCTTTCCTTCTGCTTTGCTTTGCTTTGATACGATTCCGTTCCGTGTCGCATGCCAATTATTACTGTTTATTTATCGGCAATCACATATAACAACAACATTAGCGTAACAGACAGTTTGTCACCGATCTTGTAAACAAAAACAAAACAAAAGAAAACAAAAGAAAAACCAGCAGCCATTTAGCCGCCGGGCGCGGGCATTTTTATCAACGAAAAATGAGACCCTACACAATTTTCAAGTGGTTTTCAACGTGTGGTCATTAAGTTGTTTCGTGAATGGGCTCTTTGATTGATTTATGGCCAGATAACATGATGATTGTCTGTTAATTGGCAGCAGAAGGTGCTCTCAGCGGCCAACAGCCAAAGGCAATCGTGTTAATCTAACATTAAAAGGTCGGGGGGGCTGTTCTCGAAAACGAAGGGAAATCTTTCAGATTTTTAAATATATTAAATATTCTTTTATTGTTATAAGTTTTCAGCATTCTATTCCACCTCTTACCTTTAATATAATATATTTAATGTTTTAAGAATAAACTCAGTCAATACCTACTGCACGTACCACGAAAGGACTGCAGGTCACTGTCTGGCTGCGACACATGCAACAAAGCTAAGCATCACCAACCCAAGACAGCTATAGGAAATGGTCATCGAAACCCGGGAACATCTCATCTGCAACTGGCCGAAAACAACCTGGTCGCCCTGGTCCTGGCATCACTAGAAGATGCCTCTAAGAGGACGCCCAAGGAACTACTTGCCTTTGCTAAAAATACCTCGATTGTCGACGACTTTAAAACCTGATAAGCACTCCCGCGACGATTCATACCCCCCCCCATCCTGATAACCAAGGGCCTTACTGGCCTATGGGGGCCGTTCCGGTTAACCTAATCTACTACTTAAAGAATAATCGATACGATTGCCAGAGCTTTCGGGAGCCCTGAATATCTGAGGCACATACAAAACAGCATTCATTGCACTTTGCTCTCCTGCTGCTCTAATCACGCCAATCTATTTATAAAATCAAAGCCTGAGAATAGCGCCAGCCCACAATCTGATACATATATGTACACATAGAAAGATAGATAGATGGAAAGATGGAGAGATAGAGAGAGAGAGAGAGAGGATGCACTTAAAAATTAGACAAACAACAAACTGATAAATGCGCAAAATTGTTCACGCGTCTGGCTTATGACTCAGCTCGAAAAAGGTCTACCTACCGGCCTATCGCCGGTGTCTGTGTCGGTGTCTACGATTCCCACAATGGGGCAGAAACAATTACAATTGCAAGCCGCATAGAATTACAATTACAAAATACAAAATACAAAATACAATTTGTATTGTTTGAAGAGAAACTTTCCCTAGAGCTTCGCTTCGACGCTGTAGTTCACACAATTCGCATGACATTTGCTCTGGAACCATTTTTTTCGGTTCAATTAAAATTTATACAATTTACATACATTTGCATTTCCATTTGCTGCATTATCATTGTGTTTTAGACTGAATCTTTGAATGACAACTGGTCGGGTCTGGTCTGATCAGGCCACCATACAGTATTATTATTATTTTATTTTTTTCCCGACTGTAATTGAGCGCACTCGTAATTTAAAACAGAGCAAAACAAATATATATGTACAATATATTGTGTTTATGTGTGACCCTCCAAAAGTGAATTTATTTAGCAAATAAAGTGTAGGTACATTCCAGAAATTGTGCAAGGGGAGTGCTTCTTAGGTTAGGGGTATTCCTGGATTGGCTTTGGGTTTTTAAACCACACTGAATCGTTTATACAGGGCAACAAATGGACGAAAGTCGTATCTAATAGACCTTCTTAAAAATTGATCTGGCAATTTAAGACCCCACGCAGAGTTCTTGGTCTATCGAAGAAGGAGCGTCGTACCCTTAGCTTAGCTTTTGCCGAAAGATACCCAGTAGTGTCCTTAGAAAAATGCAATAATGAAAACAAAAAATTAATCTAATTAAGAGAGTCATAAGAAAGCCGATCATATGGATTTTATTTGAATTTTAATGTTCCGAAAGCACGAATTTATCCAATTTTGCGGTGCTTTGTCGTCCTCCAGCGCCACAGTACCCACAAATAATTGAATACAGCTTGCTTTCATACAAAAAATTTGAATATTTAACTGTTTTTGTTAGCAAAAAATCACATAACAGTGCAACCGTAGAGCCTGCGCCTCTGGGGCCAGATATATAGCATTTTGCTGGTCTTTAAAAGGAGAAAATTCACTAAAAATTTGCATAGATCCGTTGCCATGTCCCATCGTAGGCACATGCTGGAATACCATTAACACGTTTTTGATGCCTGCTACTTTTTATTTGTGCAGTCCAAGGCCTGACCCCAGCACGTGGCTGGATGAGGGGGGAGGGGGCCCAGACTTTATGGCCCAGACTTACAAAATGCTTTTCGGCTTAACAGCCCCTGGAGCCCCTGGAGCCCCTGGAGCCCCCGGAGCCACAGAGCCTGGCCTGTAATTAAATTGAAAAATCCATTAAGATTATTAGCTCAATTAAAATTGCAGTTCGCTTCTTTCTTCACTCTCTTTCTGTCTACAGTAATTTAGTTCACACACACACATCAGATAGATACTCATGCAACGTGGCTTTTGCCGAGGCGCCACTCCATGACTATGGGAATGCGATTGCAATTGAGTGACGCCTGACGCCTGACGCTTGGCGGTGGGGCAAGCAACGGTTGGTCTGGTCTGGTCTGGTCTGATTTTTCTTCGCTCTCTCGTACTTTTGAAACCTACGCGAAGAAGGCGCAATGGCACCCAACCTTGTCTGCCCACACAGGACAAGTGCTTAGAGATACAGATAGATAGATAGACCCAGGCTCAGACCCAGACTCCACTGCTGCTGCTGCTGCCCACCTATCGACAGACGCCCAAAGCGTCCCAAAGTGACAGCCAGAAGGAGAGAGAG